TGTAGTGGATAGTAGATAGCCAAGATGAAACTTTGTCCCTCTCGAAAGAGAGAGATATCGTTGGGCCCATCATAGGAATAGGACTGTAGAAATGTGTGGTCGCACTCGATGAATGTCATCTATCTCTTACAATCTACTCGGGATACGACAAATCAATCGAATTGTGCTTCGATTTATGATATTGTGAGACAAAGAGGGTCATTGTTAGAGTTATCTCTGGCTTTTCTGTTAGATCACATCTAACTCTATCCAATACGGATAATCATAATGTCTTGCTAAATACCGCTTATGATTTATATATAAAGCGAGATTGGATCTCGGGTTTGCTGCCGTATTCGGAGGAGCTTAAAGGGTCATACATATATGAGATGGACTTGTATGAACGGGAAGGATCGAACGAAAAAAAAATTGGATTTTTCACAAACTTTAGGGTCTGGTTCGGACCGGATAAGAGTTGGTCTGGCAGACCAAATGGACTTGGTGACACGGGCGAAGATGGGTCAAAACTGACTTGGTCCGACCGGGCCAAAAGTTGGTCCGGTGTACCGGACTAGTCAGTCAGAGCTGTGCGTGATGGCTCAGACCTGGCTGGTCTGGTGGATCAGGATCTTGGTCCGACAGACCGGAGACTGTCGGCAAGTGTCGGTAATGCAAGCTTGGTCTGGCGGACCAAAAGTTGGCCAGCTTCGGACCAAGGCTCCAGACAGCCCAAAGTGCGATTTTTCTCACCTTTTCTTGGTGAGAAGCAGGTGGGAACGACACTTGACTCTCACACACTGATCCTCATACCTTTGGGAAGGTTTAGAGAGAGAAACTCTCCCAAGTGTTGTTGAACACATACACAAGAGATTTGATCTTTTCAAGCTCTAGCAAGCAAGTTTCCAAGTGTTGAAAACCATCTCAAGGGTGTGGATACCTCAAGAAGGTGTTGGCATCTTCAACATCTTGGTTGTGATCAACTAGCTGCCTTCAGATTGTGAATCTAAGGATTCAAATATTAGTTTTCTCCCCTTGAAGAACTTTATCGATAGAGATTGGTCCTTAGGTCGTTCAAAATCGTTTTGAACATCATTTCCGCTGCACAAACCCATGGACCATATCTGAGCACTGTTTTGAACTGGTGAGCAAGGATCTTGCGCGATCCAACAATGGTATCAGAGCCTGATTCTTGATTTTGATGAAGATCAATCACTCTTGAGGGAGTTTGAAATTGTTCAAACTTAGATTTTCCTTGTTTTTGATCCATGTAGAAGTTGTGATATAATTGAATCTATGGTAAAGTTTGATGTATAACTTTACACGGATGTGTATAGGCTTAAATCATGAGACAACTCGAGAAAACAGAGTGAAAAACGGATTCGAACGAAGCTCAAGATCAGATCGAGTTAAAAAAATCGGTCTGATTTTCTACCCAGAATCTCGTGGTCTGGCATACCAAAGTTGGTCAGTCCAGACCACAAGTTTAGACTTTGACCAAGACGAGTTCGGTGGACCAAGAGAGAAGTCTCAGACCAAAACATTCTTGGTCTGGCAGACCAAAATATTGGTCGTGCAGACCAGACGTCTATTTGGTCCGACAAGAATTTCCATGGTCCGAGAGCCCATCCGACATGTCTGGTCCGTGGACTAAGAGTTGGTCCGATCCAGACGAAATGTCTTGGATCAAATGGGCCAAAGTGTTGGTTCGAGATGACGAGCTGCTAACGGAAGGTGGCTGGTCCGGCGGACCAAACATTGGTCAAACCCGGACCAACTACCTCAGTTCGAGTGGATTGAACCCTGGTACGTGTGAGGAGAAAGGGGAGTCTTGGGTTTGTGGTCCGACGGACCAAGTTCTGGTCTGAACCGGACCAACCCTGGAGACTCCGACGCTTTTTCTTTGGTCTGAGCTGACCATTCAAACTCACTTGTGGTTTGGTCTGGCGGAACAAGTTGTGGTCCGGACCAGACCAACCAACTGTTTTTCGTTGAGCTAGGAGCCCGCACGTTCTTGAACACATACACAACAGATTTGATCTCTTCAAGCTCTAGCAAACATGTTTTCAAATGTTGGAAACCATCCCACGGGTGTGGATACCTCAAGAGGGTGTTGGCATCTTCAACACCTTGGTTGTGATCAACTAGTTGTCTTCAGATTGTGAATCTAAGGATTCAAAGGTTAGTTTCTCCCCTTGATGTTCTTCATCGAAAGATATTGCTCCTTTGGTCATTCAAAATCGTTTTGAACATCATTTCCGCTGCGCAAACCCATGGACCAGATTCGAGCACGGTTTTGAACCGCTGAGCAAGGATCCCGAGTGACCCAGCAGGTACTTCCTTTTGTATATCTTTAGTCAGCCCATCCATGACTAACGTGAAGATGTACGGGCTTAAGACAAACCCTTGGTGCAACCCTATCGAGATGGAAAAATCTCGCGTGTCACCTCCTACCGTTCGGACACTAGTGGTTGCACCCTCATATATATTCTTCAATATTTGTATGTATCTCACGGATATTCCTCTCCTCTCTAACACCCATCATAAAACCTCTCTTGGTACTCGATCATATGCTTTTTCAAGGTCAATAAACATTATATGCAAATCTTTCTTTATATCTCGAAACTTCTCCATTAAGTTACGAATGAGAAAGATTACTTTCATGGTATATCTTCTGGACATAAAACCAATTGGCTTACGGAAATAAACGTATCGCTACATAAACGTCGTTCCACAATCCTTTCCCATAACTTCATGGTATGACTCATGAGTTTTATGCCTCTATAATTTGTATAACTTTGGATATCTCCCTTAGTCTCAAAGATAAGGACTAAAGCGCTTCATCTGCACTCATTTGACATCTTCTTCGACACTAGGATTTTATTAAACAACCTAGTAAGTCAAGTTACTCTCACTTCTCGTAAGCACTTCCATACTTTGATAGGTATACCATCAGGATCACAGCTTTACCTAATTTCATCTTCTTTAGTGAATTTTTCACGTAGAGAGATTTAGTAAAATAAACCAAAAAATGTTTGGTTAAAAATATTTTTTTTGACAAAATTTCAATATAAAAAACAAATATTTTTTAATTTAAACACCGAGAAAAACTCCAAAATTATAAAGTTATACTCATAGAGTTGGGTTCAAATTTTAGATTTTGATAAAATTATATCTATTTATGTTTTTAATTTCGATAATTGGTGGGCTTAAAATCGAATTCACTTTTTATCAAATAAAATTATTATTTTCAAAAAGAATTTTTATAAGATTTTTTTGTCTTTAATTTGATGATGATTAAAATTTTAATAGTTGATTAAAAAATATATCTAGTCCAATTCGGTTTTGAATAAAACTATGTTAATTCCATGTTACATAACGTGAAATGGCGTCACTAGTAGGTCATAGTAATTGGCGATTAAAACGGAGATTAAAAATATTTGATTCCAAGGAATATTCCATGAGAAGATTAGTCAAATTCACACGACAAATGACTTGCATGGTTACCTCAGCTCCATTAGTTAACGTTATCCAATTTTTCCTTATAAAATTTATGTCGGTCCAGTCAAAATTTGAAAGCATGGTCTTAAATTTAAATTTTATTTTCTCACATTTATTTCGAATTCATATTTTCTTTTTTAAAATATCAATAATATATAACTCTAATCACGATTTAAAATACATGTTGGCAGAAGATTAAGTTTGTCTCATGTTTTGAAGTTTATAATCCTTTGACGTCAATGATATATTTTTTTTGTTGTTTAGACCAAATCGATTTGATACGACTGTGATATAAAATATTAATAAAATGATTATTCAACAGATATTTAAACTAATTTATAAGATATGATACTATCAACGGATCGTATGAATTTTTTTTCCCTATTTTGAATTTGTTTTGGTATCTTAAAGTTATTTATCGTGTGGAACTTTTTATTTCTTTATACTAATTGTGAACTAAAATGTTTGTTAGACAATTTGAAAAATTATAGGATAAAAAATCTTCGAAAAGATGAGGAGATAACAAAAATTCCAAAGATACAGATTCTAGATATTACGAAAGTGAATAGTCAGTGGACCATGTAAATTTTAATCACTAAAGTTTTTTAAAAATTATCACCAAATACCAAACACATGGTATTTACATTAGAGTAATTCCAAAGTAATGCCAACTTTCGAATTTCTAAAACCCAAAAGTAAAATAAAGAATCGTAAAATAACATTTTGGGATTGCAAAATAAAATATTTATTTCTCTTTCACTAATATTAAATAAATATTTTTAAAATGTAATAGATATGGTCGGTCGGTCACTCGTCGGACAAACTGACATAACGAAAAATATAGGAAAGTTCGGAAGGTTAGTGACCAGTTGTTTCTCGCTCAGTGGAAAACCTCTGGCCACGTGGCGTCATCACCGCCAAGAAAGTGTTACGTGGACATGTGTCACTCTAAGACCCAATCAGAAGATCACAGCTATTGTTGACCATTCAACCACCTGAGGGCCCCAGAAGCGTACACGTGTCCAAATTCTCAGTTGCATATTCTGGAAATTTTGGGCCCTACTCATTCGCCCCGTTAATTGAGTAGAATTAACACGAAGCTTCCTGTGTTATACGTTCACGTTGATGCAATTTAAGCCGTTGGATATTGAGATATAACGTATTAACCGTTGGATCAAAATCTTATTTCATCTAGAAACGTACGAGTGGGTCCGACCGATAGAATTAATTTAGTTTAATTATCATGATTTCTAAGCGGTTGGATATCGAGATGACGATATATTAGCCGTCGGATTAATATCTAGTTTTCCCTAGAATCGTATTAAACCGGGTCCCACATCGTTATCAAAACAAAATCATAGTAATTAACTTAATTAAAAAAACCATATTCACCGGCTAATTCCTATTTATACCCACGCCTTGTGCCTCCCAACGATCATCACTCAACACTCAAAACATTTTCGCATCAACCAAACACAAACAAACATACTTTCATTTCCTCGCTTCCCAAAACTAAAACTTTCCCATCAACCAAACAAAACACCCATCATCAAAGATCCAATCTTTAACAAAACCCATTTGAGATTTTCCATTTTCTGTCCGGAAAAGGCATGGGTTTCGAGATGAACAACAAGTCATCATCGAAGAGAGCGTACGTGACGTTCTTGGCCGGGAACGGGGACTACGTGAAGGGAGTGGTGGGGTTGGCCAAAGGGTTGAGGAAAGTGAAGAGCAAGTACCCTTTGATCGTGGCCGTCTTGCCGGACGTCCCTGAAGATCATCGGAGACAGCTGACGGAGCAGGGCTGCATCGTCAAGGAGATTCAACCTGTTCATCCGCCGGAAAACCAGACTCGGTTTGCTATGGCTTACTACGTCATCAACTACTCCAAGCTCCGTATTTGGAAGGTACTTGTTAGAATATGTGACCCTCGGTTTATGTGTTTTTTTTTGTATATTATAATGTAAATAATACGAGAAATAACAAAGATATGAATCCAAAACATGTTTGTTATTTGATTGTCTTTGTTTCAAAGATATAACGAGGTTAGAATATTGTTTGGATTTTAGATCATTTTGTATGTTGTCATTGCTATGTTACATCGACTTTGGAGTATTTTCTAAAAATTTTATTTTAAAATATTTTACTCAACACACAGTCTTTGACAGTTTTTATGTTGTCATTGAAAGATATTTCTACATGTTTTGCATGCAGTTCGTGGAGTACGAGAAGATGATATACTTAGACGGAGACATTCAAGTGTTCGGCAACATCGACCACTTGTTCGATCTCCCCAACGGGCATTTCTACGCAGTGATGGACTGTTTCTGCGAGAAGACTTGGAGCCACGCTCCTCAGTACAAGATCGGATACTGTCAGCAGTCCCCGGGAAAGGTGACGTGGCCGTCGGAGTTGGGCCCTAAACCGCCGTTGTACTTCAACGCCGGCATGTTCGTCTTCGAACCGAGCTTGTCTACTTACCACATCCTCCTCGAGACTCTCAAAGTTGTCCCTCCAACTCCTTTCGCTGAGCAGGTAAAGCAAGAAAGCGTGCATATTCATATTCGTTCTCCGAATATATGTTGAAAGACGGTCTCTTTTCTTGTGGAGTTTTAGGATTTCTTGAACATGTATTTCAAGGACATATACAAACCGATTCCGCCGGTTTACAATCTTGTCTTGGCCATGCTGTGGAGGCATCCCGAGAACATCGAGCTTGACAAAGTGAAGGTTGTTCACTACTGCGCCGCCGGTTCTAAGCCTTGGAGGTATATATTATAATGATAGTACTATACGTATACACGAGAGATTGATTAGAAACATTACACAGATGAGTTCTTTCTTTATGGTACGACTCGTCAAATGTTTTTTTTAAGAATCTTGTCTTGTTTCAGGTACACAGGCGAGGAAGAGAACATGGAGAGAGAAGACATCAAGATGCTTGTCAAGAAATGGCGGGACATTTACAACGACGAATCTCTCGATTACGACAAGAACAAGAACGAGATGTATATCCGACAAGACGATCACAAGCGACAGAAAGCCCTTCAGCCTCTTCTCGCAGCTCTCTCCGAAACCGGTGTTCTTCATCACATCAAAGCTCCATCCGCAGCATGAAAGAAAGATACACAGCGTGCTATATTATTACTTAGTTTGAATTTTAGTATACGAGATTGTGCGTTGTGTTCCGGTTTTGGGAAGTTTTTGATACCCAAAACCGGTTTAAGATATCGGTTTGTCTGAGAAGGATGTAGTATTTGTAAATTAAGACTACACAAAATTAAAGATTATATACAAAGTGTATTGTTTTATATGTATTGGCCCATTTCTTGAAACGTCTAATCTGTATTTTGAAATTAATTATAAGCGCGACATATGGATACACGCATGCAAATATATATACACACATGATCACTCCATAATCTTGGCAATAACTTCCCTTACAAATCAAGAACACACGTTAAAAAGGACTGTTTTCTCTTCCTCTGCACTATATAGGAAACTGCGGATTCTGCAACGGAATTTCATGAACGAACCGATCTGAATTCAATATAAATGGTTACGGCTATAGTTCTTTTAAAACTGAAATTAACCAAACAGGAATATAAACAGGAATAATAAAACCTTAACAGAGACGGAATAAAATCAAGAGCGATATAATATACGTATTTGGAAGGTTTTATTTTACAACTTTGGCAAGAAAATCAATATTATACCAAGAAAGCACACCCATTTGTCGTTGCAAGTCAATCAATATGACAATTATAAGAAACCCACCAGAGAGAAAAAAAAAAAACAAAATCAGAGAGAGGAAAAAAAAATATGTCTCGTCTTCAATGGATTTTCTCGGGGATCCTTCTCGTCGCCTTCATGGCAGCAGAAGCGGTTTTAGACGACGAAACGCAAAAAACAATCGACGGAATCTGCAGACAGACAAAGGATTACAGATTCTGCGAGGGAATCTTCGTTGAAAACCTGAAAACTTCATCGCCGAGCATCAAAGATCTGGTGAATGTGACGGTGGGACGGTCGGAAATGTTCTCGGCAAACACGATCTTCTTCATCAGCCAGCTTCTACGCAACGTCGGGAGCGAGAGAGACGGATTACAGATGTGTGCAGATGCTTACGCTAAAGTGAACATCGCGTTCTCGTTGGCTGTCTCGTGGATTCGGCAGGGACAGTACAGTGAGGTTCTCGAGCTGGAAGAGAGTGTTTCGAAGGATGTCGAGATCTGCAAGACGGATTACGATGTTCCGTCGTACGACGTGAATCCTATGATCGAGAGGAACGGAAAGATGACGATCTTGATGACCATGGTTAGGATTGTGTGTCATATGTTGGATCTTTGATCATGAGTACATGTCCATGTTGATGTTCTTTTTGTTTCTTGAATAGGACATGATACAAGAAAGGGAATAAAGTTTTTCGGTCAACATAAAAATTTAACTTTGGAAGAATTTTGTAAGGATAAGGAAAATTAATTTTCCATATTTTTTTTTGATGTAGGTAATTTAATTTTCAATATTTGGGGTGATCATTCTAATTAATCCTTTTTCGCTGGTCAGATGTCCAAAATGGTATGGAATTAAGCAATTATTTCAACGGTTTTTAATTTGATAATTTGGATCAAATGTTCTTTCCAATTAATACATATAAAATATTATCAAAATATAAATATAAATAAAATATGGCCACCAAAAGAATTAACGAGTGAAATTCACAAAAATCCTATATATATATATAGACCGTGATGCTCAGCTAAGAGACTCTACGCTGTTCAGAGTCTTGCGGTTTAATTTGCTGAATTAAACCAGAGACAAATGTGGGATCGGGAACGGTTAAATAAAACGAAGCGTTTTGTTCAGCCGAGGGCAACAAAGTAATTTGTCAAGGGGTTGTTAATGTTGTTGGTGACCATCTTCCTTTAAAACTGGAAAACGCCGATGAAGAGTCTGTACTTCTTCGCCATTTTTCTTGTTTTCGATCTCGGCGTAATCCTCTGTCAGAGCTCGCGGTTCGTGTTTAGTGAGGAGATCTTTGTCAAGTGTAAGGGCCGATCAATGCTAAGGGATTGCTGAGGTTTCCTCGGCCGAGACGTAGGATCCGAACTCGTCAAAGACTGCATGACATTGATCAAAGCGTTGAAAGAGGTTGGAGTGAGGAGACGCCATGTTTGAGATGATCGACTCTTTGCTTGCGGTAGCCATAGTTCTTGGTCCTACTGCGCATGTCATCTATCAGTTCCTGCGTTGATGAGTCCGGTTTTATCCATGACGATGATGATGTATTGCCTATGAAGCGGTATCAGGCCCTCGCAAAACAACTCTGATGACGAGTTCGGTTACCGAGTTTCCTCGGGCCTACATCTCGGCCGGACGGTACCGGCGAATCCACTAGAAGAACAGAAACAACCGAGAAGAACAACCCGGTGGCACTCCACATCACGATCGGAGGCTCACCGAGATTCACCAAGAAAGGAGACGCAACACAAACACACACTGAGTTACAGAACTCACCTAAGGTCACCGACCGCCGTCGCTCCTCCGCTTCGCCGGAAGAACGCCTCAGCCCTTCGGATCGTCTCTCGCTCTCTCGCTCTCTTTCTCTCTCGAACGTTCCTCTTCGAACCACGAGCGTCGAACCATCGTCCTCGAGTAACAAAACATAATAGGGTATTAAACCCTAACTCCGAAACGCAACGTTTCGGAAAGCCTCTTCCTCTTTCGGAGGGTTTCACTTTTCCACCAAATGGGCCGTGAGGCCCAACATTGCCGATGATTAGCATACAAAGGAATATCATGAAAACAGAGCGTAGAGATGACATTTTCACTCTGATGTTGAACATGAAGATTGTCTCTAAATGTATTTTTATAAGAGTTGCTAAACATGTTTTAATACATAGATACATATATATATATATATATATATATTCTCTCTCTCTTTTATTGCCATTTAAAGACTTGAATTATGAGGTCAGTTATAAAATGATCTCCAAGAATTTCGGATATCAGAATTATTTTTTTTGGTTATTGAGTTTTGAAATCTAATTTTGTATTCATGGGTTTGGACATCCCGAAATCTAAGGAAATGGTGTGACATATATCCATGGCATCAAGGCCTGAATTTTGTAAAAGAATGAGTTAGGGAAAAGTTTATATTTTAGTATTAAGAAATATCATGACGAATTTTGTAAATTTTAAGAAAGATTATGGACAAAGTTCATGTCATGTGAACTTCGGGATACACTATAAGCATCATGAATTAGCGAACATATTCGAATAGACAACAAAATAGAGGAAGAATGAAAGAAGTTCACATGGAATTCATTTCGATTTTTCAAAACATAGAAAGAAAAAGACAATTCTTTTGTCGATGGTCAAACCATTTTTTCCTGGAACCAACAACAAGAATGCAGAACTAGTGGAGATAGAAAGAGAGAAACCTTTAGGTGAGCTTACAATCAGATAGTATATGCTCTGTGGTACCGGCTCTCATCTAAGATTAAAGTACTTCTATGTGACCATTTTCTTGTCCAATAACCTCAATAACTTTTGAATTTAATGTAAGATTCACATACACACTATCCAATAATGAATACACAATGCAAAACTTAAGTCATCAAATTTTGGGTCGATACGAAACAACCTAAAAATCTTGGGTGATCAGTGACGAAAGGCAAATGAAAATTGGAGCTTTTCGCCGAAGAGGGAAATCGCGGAACCGTGTGAAATTTCATCTCTTTCTCATTTCTTCCTGACGTTTCAGTTTCTTCATGAAAAACCAAGCAATCAGATTTAAACTTAAACTACTATTACAAACCCCAGGGACTACTATATTCAAAAGGGATTATGTGATTTTTCGTCCGTTCCAGAATAAGTGGGGTCCACAGCCTGTTACTGGCAGTTTTTTTTACCATTCGATCTCTTTAATTGAATCTAACGTTAACACTTGCACTACTCTTTCGACCGAATATTGTACGTCTTTTATTTCATTTCTTTTGTTATGCAGTTTTTAATCCCAAATAACCCGTAAGAGTCTCGGAATTTCAAATAACCGAATAAAACCGGTAATTTATTCGTATATAATTTGGTTTCTTCCAACAACGGTTTGAAAACGAAGCAAATAATTTTTTGTGAAAACATGCTTCAAATGATTAATTGGTATTTATAATAGATATTAACCTTAACAGACCAGAGAGGAGAGTCTGTTGCCCTAATTCTGTCGCAATGGTGAACCAAGAACCGAATCAACGACGCAGACTCAGAATCTTGGGTGATCATGAAAATTGGGATTTTTCGTTCATTGCAGAATTAAGTGGGGTCCACAGCCTCTTGCTAGCCCTGTTTCTACCGTTCGATCTAACGGTCGTATATCTTTTATTTTATTTCTGTTATGTAGTTTTTCATCCCAGTCCCATGGTAATCCCACGAACCGAATAGAATAATTTTTACCAGTCCAAAATTTCACGTGGCAATTTTTACCAGTCAAAAATCCCACGAACGGAATAGAGTAACATATCTATAACTATATCTATATCTAAAAATGACAACATATTTTTTTTTGTTGAATTGTTACAATTATTCGGAATAAAAACTAATTAAATAAAAAAATATCAATGAAAGAGTCAAACGACATACATTCACCATACCATCGTACCACGCCATCATTTTTCTAAATATATAAATATATAACACCAAGAATATTAATATTACATCTTCATCAAATTTGCCCATCTTGCACAATGGAGTTAATAAGAATATTATAAGTAAACATTAGGATCTACTCCTCTTTTTCACAAGAAACTATAAACCACTATTATATTTACACAACCCATGTCCATATCGTCATTTATTTCATCTAAATAACTACTATCTATCATGATCTATAGAAAATCTATGATAATTTAATATTCAAAATAATATTAAGGTGTTTTATCATTCATGCGATATATTTTTCTCACAGTGTAAATAGAGATAGCGGGTTAGTTTATTTGACACAGAAAAAAAAAGTAGAAAAAAAAAACAAAAAGCATGCACATCTCTAATCTGATCCCACTCGGATGATACTAGCTATGAGAAATGATCTTATTCGTATGTAATTTGATTTCTTCCAACACATTAATAACGGTTTGAAAACGAATTTAGTAATATATATTTTTTTTTAAAACATGCTTCAAACGATTAATTGATTTTTATAATAGATATTAACCAAAATATATAAGATGTCCAAAGTCTAAATATCATCATATCGACACCGAGGATTCGTAGTTTAATATTATTTCAATAACTGCCCGTGAAATGTCCAAAATAATATTGTAACTTCGTTAGATGTTTCAACTAAATTAATCTCTAATGTTAATTTTGGTCAAGATATAGTTTTCAAATTTGAATCCCAATTTACCGGTTCAGTCACTTGTTCTCAACCTCCCCGGTTCAGCTGAACCAATTCCAAAACTAAAACCTCTGGCGGAATCAGAGACTTCCCCTAAATTTAGACATTTTCAAACAGCATTCGCTACACATTATAAATCGATCATACGTTGTGTTGGTGCATTTGTGACGCTATATAAATGGAAGAAAACGAAAAAAATTACCGAACGATAGCTGAAATAACGTGGATTGTACACTACCAACCGGAATTCACACTCAAGAAACCAGACGAAAAACACTCGAAACCGACAATCAAATTATAAAGGCAAAAAAAACAACAACATAGGTGTCGGTAACTTGGGTCGCAAGAAAGTCCGAAAACCGGACTGAGGCAGTTCGAGAGTTGTCGATGAGATCTATGATGAGTTCCGTTCTTTTCCGAGATTTCGAGATGGTTTCTCTTCAGCCCTCAGTTCGGTTTCCGTCCCTTTTCGCGGTCTCCGTCTTGATGGATCATGAAAATGACGCGACCGTTGTGGTCGGTGACCGGAGAAGAAGGAGACAATCTTGATTCGACATCTTCCTTTTGGTCTGTCTTCACGTTATGTTTCAACTCTTGAGTTTGTTCCATGTCGGCCGTTTCCTTGTCTTTTCCCCATAGCACTCCATAGAGCCCAATAACCACCAGAGCTGACCCCACAAGCCTACACAATCTCTCGATCATATGATCCCAATAACATACACATCCATATATGCATATGTATGTATATGTATATACATAAATATAGATGCGTGCATGGGTATATTTATGCATATTTCAGAGCTTGCTTAGATAAAAGGGGTGAGGTCAATTCCATTTCATTCATGTGCTTAGCACATAAAACTGTTTATTTTCTAAAGAAATAGTTAATGACCCCAATAAGTTATACATATACATATATATATATATATATGTGTGTGTACATGTATATGTACAGTGTATAAGTATATTTTATGCATGCGTGTCAAAGCTTAGATAATAGGGATGAGGTCAATTCCGTTCCGTTCAAAACCTTTTTTTTCTAAAGAAAAATTTCTTTTCCGATTATGCGTGTTTGCGTATGTTTATGCGTATAGGAAAATATTATCAAGTCGTAACGTTAGAAGGATCGAGAGATATTTATATACAAAAATATATGTGTATGTGTGTACGTATACGTATATGTATACATATAAGCAAGTACTTACGTGCCAAGGTAGAGTTTCTCCTGAAGCAGAGCCCAGCTGATGATGGCGACGACGACGAGCAACATAGGGCTGAAAACGGAGACATAGAGAGGGCCTCTCTTCTGAATCGTCCACGACATTAGGCAAAACGCTAACGCAGACGCCACCACACCCTGCGCTTGCACGACACCAGCGTTTTAACTTTTCACCAAATACAAAACCTACGGCGTTTGCGTTTGGAAGCAAACACAACCATTTGTATTAGAAGATCTCGGACACCATAATATGATAACCCGATAATGACGGATCTATAAAAAATTACGAATGGGGGCAATAATTTTGTAAATGTGATTTAACATAAACAAATTTTATTTTTATGGGATATCCAACATTTTTATCTATAATTTTATAACATTTATACAAAAAAATGATATTTGTTTTAATCAGTTATAAGGGTTTGTGACACCACTCCACGTCCCTATAACCCGACATATACTTTTGAAAGATCGGGTATCCGAAAATCGGACATTAGATAGTTGTGATTTTCATCTAAAGATGGATCGTGAATAGTACCGCATAGACGGCAGAGATGACTCGGATAGGAGATCTGAGAGACCAGTCGGAGAGTTTGTGGTCGGAAATCAGAGCAATGCCTCCGCATTGAATGCTTCCCATCAAACACATCAACAGCGTGCTTGTGTACGGTGCTGCAAATGTCTCCCCCATCTTTGTCTAACCACAAGAACACAGAAAGATCGAAATCGAAACCTTAGTGTTCGCATATACCCATCCTATAAACCTATAAACCGACAGTATCTGTGATCACCGGTTATAACCAAAACACAGAAACATCGATTGGAGAAATCAAGAGTAGAGGGTCCGTATAACACATGAATGAACCATAGACGACATTTTAATATGAACATAACCAATCGGTTTGATCCGGTTTAGTTATTTATAGATACATAAATTATAACCGAACAACAAAATTTAAATTTGGTTTGATTCGATTTATAATCATATCAAATTTAACCGAAATTGTCTGTCTTCATATGTGTGTGTATATAGGGTAAGATAAAAATCTGAACCGAACTAATTGAACCAAACCAATCCATCGGTTAACCAATTTTATTCGGCTAATAACTGAACCGAACACGATGGATTACCAATTTCACAGTCGACTGGTTATTTTACAAATGACCGAACCGTTTTTAATAACCGAACCGTTTAGTCCAGCCCTATAGATGAAGCATAACCGGTTAAAAACCAGATCAAGATTGGTAACAGGAAAAAAAAAAGGGAGGGGGGTTGAAACCTGGAGGATGAACCAGGCGGCCCAAGAGACAGCACCGGCCATGACAAGGAAAGGACCTAAGAAGAAGCTGGAGCCATTAGAGCTCGAGCCGAGGCTGGATATCTTCTCGGCGTAGGTCCAGTGGATCTTCGATTCTCCTATGCCGATGGTGTGACCGTGGTAGAACGACAGCAACATTGCTCCTGCCACACACACTATTGTCCCTACCACCTTCGCCTGTCCCGATTTCTTCTTTATCCCCACCACCTCTTGCCTATTTATTACGCCCATATCAAGAAACAAAGTTAATGAATGATTCCGTCAACCAATACCAATACCAAATTCAACCGAACCGAACCGGGTTGTATCCAATCAAATCCGGTTTTGTTTTTGGTTATTTGGTTTTCAAGTGATATTCGTTACTACAAATTATAAAACTAAAAAAGAAACGTTTGTTTTTGGTTTCGGTTTAAAAAAGAAATATTTATTTTCTAAACAAAAATTCGTTTTGATATATTATATGGACCAGAATTAAATATTATAACACTGAACCAAACCAAACTATTTCCATACCAAAAATATTTTATCGAACCGAAAACACTAAACCATAGACCGGTGTTGTTAGAAATTCTCACCCAATATGGTAAGCTCAAAATTTCATATAAATAGCTATAACTATATTAATGTGTATGTATATATATATATAGTAGTGGAATCATATTATATATTGTTTTTTACTCTTTTTTAATTCAAATAAAATAATTATTTATCATTGTATTTTTGAATAAATCAATATATACCTGAAAATTGCGGCGAGGAGAAAAGTGACCGCCGGTAAAAGATTGGTGAGGGCACAAGCAATCGTCGGAGATGAATTTTGTAGCCCTACGAAGTAGAACACTTGGTTTCCGGTCACTCTGCCACCCCGACCCCAACCAAATCAAAATTCGAAATATTCATATTACATATCTCAAAAATTAACACAAAAAAAATTATTTAAAATATACATTTATTTAAGTAAATGCACCGTAACATAAGATTATATATTATACTATATTAATTAGTGGTGATTTGGTTAATACCCAGTAACGGAACAGAAGAAGGCTTGGACAAGAACATTCAGTGTGACCTTGGGTCTCGTCTTCCTGCACAGAAAAACACGGTAATTAACTCATAATTAAATTAACTAATTGGTAATTATTAGTCTTAAAACGCTTTGACATGAAAAACACGCGCATACGAAACAGACAAGACACTCGCATGGTCATACATAACGTAAAACGGCGCCAGGTTGACACGTGTTCCGGCACTTTCCGGTGGCACGCGACACGTCACCCTTCATTCACTCTGCCTGTTTTGTTTTTGTTTTTGTTTTTCTTTTTTGGTCTTATGTCACAACACATGGATCGTATGACCATCCCTCGCTTTTCTCATTTATTTTCCCCGAAAAAAAAAACAATTACAATCATTTCTTTTTTTTTAATAACGAAATTTATCTTTATGTTTGGGAACCGGTGAAAATTTATCTTTATTTTTATTAAGGTTAGTTTTTTAAAATTATTTTCTATTATTTTTATATGTGATTTAAATTAAATTTTTATGTTAGATTGAATTTGACTAAAAATAATTAGATTATTATTTAGTTAGATTTTTGTATATCAAATGAAAATATTCACTATTTTTAGTTAAGTAATGATTGTATTAGATAGGTTTTGAAGATAAAACTCACTAAACTCGGAAGATTTTACGTATGATTTAATGTAGAATAATCTACATTAATTATTGATAATTCTATGAGATTATATATACATATATGTATAGTGTAAGTACTCAAAAAAGAGATTACTATTTTTATAAAAAAAATGGATTATTAATTTTATAGATTTACAAGTGTTAACCAATGCGTGAACTACCGGTTCAATTGGAAAAAAAACATCTATCTTTTAAAAAGGACGCTAGATTTACAACGTTTTTATCTTAAGAAAAGGCGATTAGTGTCCTTTTTAGAAACGAATAAGCCGCGATTATTACCTTCAATAAACACGATGGATTGACCTACGTAAATAATTGATTACCTTAATATCTACAAAATACACTACACTCGGCGATTTTTATTTTAGAAAAGATAGTCTGTATATTTTATTATTTAAAAAGATATTAATAGACACATATATATATATAGTTTCATAAACACGTATGTTTACTGTAGTTAACCTATGCAAACTTACAAATTTGTCCGACACTGATTACTTGAACTAAAAATTTACTGTGTTTTATTACAGAACACCAATAGAGTATGAGCATGTACATGCACGTGTGTTTTACAAATAAATGAAATTAAATAATTTACCTTCAATATAGACATATAGTATTATATAATCACGAACAAATTGAGCATTAATAATTACGCTAAAATAAAACACCTGAAAATATGTGTATTTAGAGCGTAATTTCCGGACAACTAAACCCGGTAGGGTGCTTAGTCTTGTTTTTTTATTCTTCTTATTAATTATTATAATTATATAAATAATAATTTAACAGAAAAAAAAAAACTTCAGAAGAGAGAAAAACTACACGTGATTAATTCGTAGGCTTATACTTTAGTAGAACTACGTACAAAAAATAATTACTTTTGTAAACATAGCATGCAAAAGAACTATCATCAACTCAATGCCATACATTGCGAATTCAAATATGTGTTTGCACGTAAGTGTGTGTGTATATATATATATATATATGAAGATATACATATTATTCATCATACGTACCGTTCGATGAAATAAGCCACCGGAAAAGTGGCTACGGTGGCGAAGATTTGGCGGTAAGCGACGAGGATAAGAGGCTTCATGCCGGCCTCCATGGCCATCTTCGACGTGATGTTCATACCCGCGTAGCCGATTTGCACCAACACCATCGCCAAGAACGGCAGCATATCTCCTCCCACCATCTCTTCTTTCCCCTTTTTCCCCTTACAAATGTGTAAATGATCGATTTGGTAGAGAGATTGAAAAAAGATCGGTGGGGGCACTGATAAAGTATTCCAAATCTACCTTTCTTTTGGGTCGGCCATGCACTTATATATAGAGGAATATATAGATATATAGATACGGAGTTCTCTGTTTGTATGTGAGTGTGTGTACATGTGTGTAGAGAGAGAGAGAGAGGAGAAACAGAAAAAAGGTGAGGGGAGATGTAAGAAAGAAGAGAAACGGTTCAAGAACGAAGTTTGCTTGTAACACTTGTGCTCTTTTTTAGGGCAAATCAACACGAAACAATATATATGCAGTATGCATATCATATATATTTTTGGCAACTTATTAAACTCGTTTCAATTTCTAATCCTCAAACCGAAAAGGAGTTTTTGTTCATTTTAAAATAATAATAATAATAATAATAATAATAATAATAAATTATTTTTTTTCGCTCTCTTTTGCTTTCTGTTGTGTTTTGGGTTTGGGCAGAACTTGTGAATACATGAATGGATCACGCATGCACGTCTTTCTCAAAAGCTTCAAGCAATCAACTTGCTTCCCCTGAATAAATAGCTGGATCCCCCGAATTTATCGTCTCGATTCACCAATATATTATCGAATAAAATCACGAATTACTCTATCTAGTTCTCGCTAAATCGAAAGCGAAACTCGTCGTGTTGTTCTTACATCTAAAAAGACCGGTTTAATTTGGTTTGGAATCTTGGATTCATTTATAATGATTCATTAATTGTAGTACATCGGTATTCATAAAACTTGCATATTCTAAACCGAACCAAAGTAAACCGGCCTGACGAGCCTTGTTCTCTAATAACACCTTCAAGAAAATAACTATATACGTTTCGTGTATAGTATACAATGTAAGATCATTGTCTTCATGAGATAGACAAATATCTCAAGCAAGATTTGATTAGATAATCCATGATATATATATAAAAAAATGTAATTCACATATATAGGTAACTAATGTATCTGCTTTACGTAGGTCTTCATATTGTCATCTTTTGTATTTGTATTTGTATCTTGCAGGGTTTATAATTTCAGTTTCGTTTCAGTTATTTTTATATACGAATTTTTCATGTTGGAATTTTTTTAGCAATATGGTTATTATTTACTTTCATTGTTTCAAAACTACATTTTCATTTGGCTTTTTAATTATTTGTATCTTCTGTTCGTGTTGAATTAATTTGATTTAAAGAAAAACACATATTTAATTGATTAAATTCGATTCAAATTCGGTGATACATTATTCGATTCAAATTTGAAAAAAAAAACATTTATGAAAAAATGATATTTTCAACCTACACATTCATGTACTTTTCCTTTTCCTTTTCACACACACGAAATGCATAGGTCCATAGGACGTTTCCTTGGAAATTTGCATCACAAAAAAAAATCGTATTTTTATTATGTTGTAAAGGAGATATTTTAAAATCTTAGACAATATCGAAATAAGCAATTCTATTACGAGTGCGTGACAATAGCAATATATAAGAATAATGTAAATCTCGTATCCGTTTATACGTTGAAAACCATAATATATATATATATATATATGAATGAAACTAAAGCTATATATATAGAATTTAATTAAATAAGAAAATATAAGGAGGAAGAGGCTAATATTTAATATTAGATATACAGTATTAGGGTTATATGCATCATCTAGTCATATAACATATTACACAACTTACGGTTACATCTGTAAGCCAATAATAACGACAACGATTATTATTATTATTATTATTATTATTATTATTATTATTATTATTATTATTATTGTTGTTGTTGTCCCATGGATCGTGTTTCTTCCTCCTCAAGCAACCTTCTCTTGAATTTTGCGATATATACGATCCACTCATTTCCTTGACGTAAACGAAATTGTTGCATAATTGTTAATATCAAAATCAAGTTTGTAAACTATGTACGTATATGTCTTTTGTTAGATGAATTTATGTATGAGTGTCCTTTTTTTTGTCCTTTTTATAGCCTCTATCAGTTCAAATTAAATTGTAAATATATATATATATATATATATCGTACTTATACTTTCGTTTATTATATCTTGTGAAAGAAAAGTTGATTGTACAACATACTTGAAACCAATGGCAAATATTTCCGTTTGAATCTATAAAATCGAACACGAACGAGACTAAATAATGCATAATCATATCCTGTTTAAAACTCGATCTAAAATTATTACCTATAATTTTTAGAAAATCAGATGAATAAAATCTAAAGCCTATAAAAATAATCTAAAACTGCCGAAATAATTTTTTAAATGACTATTTTTTACACAAAAATAATTTTAACCAGTTCCAATAAAAAAAAAACTAACATAAAACCGAAAATTATGTAGATTTTGTAGTATAATCAAAGCGAAATAAGAGAAATAAGCAAATTCAAAATATAATTTCAAACCTAATTGTCTATCCTTTTGATTAGAATGTTATTCAAATTTGAATAAATACCTATAAATATGATGTATATTTTTTATTAGGATATGTTCTTTTGATTAGAATGTGGGTTTATATATATATATATATATATATAAATTGAACAGATCAATCATGCATAATATACCAACACACACATATATATATATATATATGATTATGATGTCTTACTAAGTTGAAATAGCATGGATAACGATGTGTAATCTTCTAGAAACTCAAACACAACCTTCACAAATCCACAAGCCAAAAATACTACAAAGGGCGGTTTCATATTCCAAGTTTGTCTCATTAATTCATTTGAAAAATTTCCTATATGACCCAAAATTCGTTATATTATCTCGAATGCATTCTCATTATTAGTAATGTCCATAAAATAACCTATAAGATATTTTATTATAAATTTAATCGTTTGAAGTAACTAAACTTTTTATAAAAACATATATGAATAAAAGAATTGGATAATAGAAATTGTGGTATAGAGTTAAAAAAAAATAAAATCAGATTGACTGTAATTAGACTATAAAAACTTTGAAAACATTTTGCAGCCACATGCTATATATGGTGGGAACTGCCTCCATACAATGCCTGAGAAGGACGTTCGTTATGGACCGAGGTGATGAAAGGGTGGGTATGTTCATAACGGCGTGATTGCTGAGGCGGATTCATTGTTTTGGATTATGCCCGAGAAGAACGGGATTTCCTTGACTCTGATGCACGGTGAGTTGCTTCAAGTTGGACGAATCGATGATGCATACAAGTTGTATGATGTAATGCCGCTGAAAGATACAGCAGCGGATGAACTGATATGATTGGTGGGTTGTGAAAATGCAGGGGCAGTGGATGAGGCAAGAGAGATTTTCCGATGAGATGCCGCATGAAAATGTGATTACTTGGATCATTGTGGTTTAAGGGTATGTGCAGAGCAATCGTGTAGATGTTGCTTGGAAGATCATTGAAGTGATGTCGGGGAAAACAAAAGCGACGTAGGCTAAACAAGAATGGAGGGAGGATGATAAGTATCCACATTGGAAAATGAGAGGGATTTGGGCCAATATATAAGTAAGGGTCAAACCTCCACTCTTAAGCTACGAGTTAGGACCTAAACCTTATTAGAGGCTGAATAGCTTTTTGAGGCAATACCGATGAAGCCTGTTATTGCACGTAATGCCGGTTTGGACGAGAGTGGAGAGATATGGAAAGAAAAGGAGGGTCTTTGATCGAATAGTGGAGAGGGATGATTCGACAGGGAAAGAAAGGATTAGAATTTACGAGGGAAAAGGGTTTGAATTAGAGGAGCTTGAGCTGTTTACTCTCATGCAGAGACAAGGAGTTAGGCCAACGTTTCCATCATTGATCAGTGTACTCTCTCTCTCTCTCTGCCTGCTTAACAAGCCTTGACCATGGTAGACAGGTTCATGATCAGTTGGTGAGATCTTAATTTGATATTAATGTTGGATGCGGTGAGCTTGAAAGTGAAACTTGTCCTGTCCAGGTGGCTTCATTTAGCTGAAGTTGCGGCAAAGAAACATGTTGAGATTGAACCTGGAAATTCTGACCCTTACATCTTGCTGTCCAAAATTTATGGATCTCAAGGTGAGTGATCTGATGGAGCAGAACTGAGGAAAACCATGCGTACGAGGAACTTAAGCAAATCACCTGGTTGTATCTGGACTGGAGTAGAAAAGAAAGTGCCCATGTTCACTGGTCGAGGCATTAGAGAAGTCATAGGAGCATGGTATGATCTTGAAGATATTGGAGAAGTTAGATGCGCCATTGAGAGAAACAGGATATACAACCCTGATTGCAGCTACGAGTAAGAGAAGATGGTCAAACAGGTTTCATTAGTTCAAGAACAGCCAAGGTTCCCGCAGAGGTTATTGGTGATAGCCATATCACGTGATAAATGACATCCATACATTGTGAAACCAAAGATTAGGTAAGAGAAAGAACTCGGTCACCTATCCATCAAATTTGGCATGATGGGGATGGAAAAGCACTCTGCTTTGCTAATAAAACCAGAATTCACCTTTTGCCGGGTTAATGCGTCGGTCTATACGAGTGGTCATGGTGAAGTTAGCATCCGGCAACCTGATCAAATACAAGTGGGCACATTCTTCCTCAACACAACATGGAAGATGCGCATTCATGGCAAAAAGGCAGATGCTTTTGCATGTGTTTTGTTGTCGGGTGAATGTTTCTTGCCGGGGCAAAACTTGTATATAATGGCAACATCTATATATTTTTTTCTCAGTTACTAACATGCTCTGCTTCTTGTACAGGATGAAACAAACCTTTGGTTGTGGAAAGAAACTACAGAGACAGATTTAAGTCCAAATCGCTGCTGCTACCTTCAGATCCATCTCTCTTTTTCTGAGAGACGTCCTTCTTGGATGTCGGAGGGCTTGCATTGATGGCTTTTTCAGTGTTGTTCAGCTCTGCGTTCTCCGATAAAACCTCTAGCTGAAACGACGGATTCTTGTGAGGCAAAGCTCCTTCGCCGTGTACCCTCTTCTCCTCTCTCTCCGTGGAGCTCACGAGGTATTTTCGCATTTCTCTGGCATGTTTAAGAAAAGCATACATCTTCTCCATCTTATCTTCTTCTTTCTCTTCCATTTTCATCTTCTTTCTATCACCCTCCATTCGACCCTTTCCCTTACTGAATGTCCTAATGCAGAACTATGCTATATTATGTTGTCATGTGCATATTTAATAGCTCCCTGTATGCAGCTGCTAGGTCTAAAGGAAGAGTCTTTATATGGATAATTACAATGAAAGCACATAATACAGATGAGCGTAATGATAATTGTGGAAAATTTTTCCACGGATTTGGTGGATGACATACATACATTCAGCCTTAGTGGGAGATACAAAAAAACGAAAACCTTATCCAGAACCCTCGCCAATGTCGCATTTTGGCGTCATCCATCAGAATCTGTCTTTTTCTTGGTAGTCTTGTACAACTTGTGCCTCACAAGGGACCCAATTTAGCTGTCACTGAAACTTTTATTGAAAGTTGAAACCCAACACCCACCAAAACCCAGCAGGAAATACGTTTGTATAGCATACATACACGTCCATCATGTCAACATGCATCCGGTAATATAAACATGTGTAGATACATGAAAACATGCTTATGTGCATAAGTACATTAGGTACAGAAACCATGTACATCATCTATCACACGGGGCTACTAACCAAAGTCTACACTCTTGACCCATATCCAAAGTTCCCAACTAAACCCACCATTTCACAGGAACCATACTGACCTAGCTGCATTTCAGATCTGTTTTCAGTTATCTTCTCATTTGCTTGTAATATCTGCAGGAACTGTAGACTGATCTTGCTTGTTGCTGTGTTTTTTTTGTTTCAGTCATGTCCCCATGGTACACCATGTTTGGCCCAGAGATAATATGCTCCCACTGGTCCTCGCCCACCAAATTCGTACAGCTCTGGTGCTGTATTGTTCTTGTCTATCTCTTCCAGAACAGGATTCAGAATGCTCCAAGCTGCTGCCACCTCATCGCTTCTCATGAACAGATGGTTGTCCCCATCGATAACATCAAGAACAAGATGTTCATATGAATCGGGTACTTCTACGTTATACCTGCCATTTCAACGCCCAGGCAAATCACGGTAAAGCAACTATTCCCTGGACTTGGGAAGAGAGAATGATAAAACAAATGAAAAATTTGTGACTTGCCTGTCTTTATAGAGCAGGTTAAGTTCAGATGTGTCAAGCTGAAGACCTAAGCCCGGAATTTTGTTATTGACTTTTACCAGGATGGCCTCATCGGGCTCGTCACGTAGAATCAGTTCGTTTGTGGCTAAGTCTATGTTGAGCCCAAGACGTTCCCGGTAAAGGTTTCCAGGTACATGTCTGAACTGCATCCGAATCTCTACTCTTTCCACATTTTAAGTAAAGCCCATCATTCCATGCTATGTCAATGGGCACTTCCACTAAATTTTTCAAGAACAAGTATAATTTTATTACCTGTGCTTGATGAGACCAGTGCCGACTCTTATCAGGAAAGGAACACCATCCCAACGTCCATTGTCAATGTACAGGGCTGCAGCACAGTATGTTGGAGTGATGGTGTTCAAGGTAACATCGACCTTGTCCCGAGAACTGGTTTTGTACTGGCCAAGGATGACATCACTTGGGTCCAGTTTTCGTATTGACCTCAAAACCTTCACCTGGAAAAAAAAACACAAACACATCACTTGCCACTTCATTAGATGAAACAAGAGTCTGCTACTTGTCTGTAAGTCTTTGCCAACTCATAAGACAGTAGGCTATTTGCTCTTGCAGGTTGACCTTTTCATTCCGAATATCTTCACCATCCAGACTTATTGGAGGTTCCATGGCAAGTAATGCAATTGTCTGAAGTATATGACTGTGAACTATGTCCCGGATTATCCCATACCCATCAGAATACCTAGAAGGAGCAGGAGGTACATACATTAAAGAGATAGCATTTCGTTGTCTGAGAAACAATGGAATTTACTTCTGCATGGAAGAAATGCAGAGAATAGTATAGTCGTGTTTTACATTTCTTTCTGGGCAACTGATTCTGACACAATGATCTGCAGATGTTTGAAAACAAAGTGAAGAAACCAGACTCAAGAAGAAAGCTCATGGCAGCAATTTAGAAACATAAGAAAAGACAATACCTGCACATTGCGTAAGTATGTTCTGCTCCATAATGGTTCAAAAACTAGGTTCGAAAATCTTAATACTGTCAGGTTCTCAATAAGATTTCTTCCTAACATGTGATCAATCCTGCAATGGGTTAGAAAGAAACTGAAAAAAGATGAACCCCGAGAGCTATACATGCAGAAAATTAATGTAATTAATTTATGGACCTGTAGATTTGCTTCTCCTGAAACTTAGAGAGAAGAGACTTAGTCAACTGATGAGAAGAGCGTGCATCAAAACCGAAAGGTTTCTCAACTATTATACGAGTCCAGCCTTTTATGGCCTGGGCACTCTCCGAAAGGGTGCATGCCACATCCATGAGCGCTTCTTGCGGGACAGAGAGGTAAAAGATCCTATTTGCTTCTGATCCGCCCTGAAGAAGAAAAGCTGTTAAGGTATCGGTTATCTTGCTTGTTTATTATGATTGCTGGAGACATCAAACACAATCCCGTTTTATGACAATATTTAATCTAAAGTGCATTTTAAACATTCAGTGGCACCTCAATCTGCTTCATTCTCTCATTAAGACGAAACATCCCATCCTTGTTGTCATGACCTCCATTTATGTAGTAAGTTCTACTGAGAAAAGCATCAATCTTGTCCTCGCAATTTTGTCTGAAACATTTCCCATCATTGGTTAGTTAGCGAATGACAAACGGGTATGTGCGCTAACCTTGAACACCACAACACAATGGGGATATATTCTGAGAAAGAACATTAGGGTCATCCAATGGTAAGGTAGAACAAGAGATACACACTGATGATCAATGCGGCAAGTCAACGTGGATGCTATGATGGATCTGAGGTCTTTATCTGTCAAATTCTTTCTGGAATAACCGAATATGCCAACATCCTGCAACAATGGAAACCGATGAGTAGAACAACAGCTTTTTCTGCCACAAATGGAATATCGTCTTTTGCTAATTCTATTTGGTGTGCAGATGCTTGAAAATGCATACCTCGGGAAGGTAGCCGCTATAATACAAAGCAAAGAGTGCAGGAAAGATCTTCCTTCTTGCAAGCTCACCAGTTGCTCCTATAACAGCAATGCATAGTGAGGCCCCTCTTTCAGCACCTGTGAAATCATCCAAATATTGTTTCTGCACTTTCTCAGAACCATCAGTTCGATTATTTTCTTGTAAACTCTCTTCTTTTCCCAATGCAGTACCAGTAGTTTCCTCTGCAGAATCTGCATATATATATTCTCCAACTCAGGAAGTCTTTTACAAGATCAAAATGGGCACAGAGGACTCATCACCAACTCTACCTGGAGATAACAGTGAATCTCTTTGCTGAATCTGATCCTCACTGAGCAATTCTTGCTCTGAATGTGTTTTCAGGTGATCATTTTCATGTTTCGATACAGTTTTGAGCTCATTCACAAGCTGATGTTTTCGGTTGCCTTGCCTCAGATTCAAGCTCTTGATTATCCAAAGCTTCAAGCCGCAAAACCTTCGGCAAATATTTGAGCCTCCTCCATAGAGCACTAGACTGCCATTTCTCAAGGAACCATAGTCTCTTGCTGAGACCTGCATGCACACAAAACGATCGGAATTTCACACCATTGGAGCAAATATGGTAATCCTTTTGCCTAGAACAAGTTCTTGGAGCAAATCTGGAGATTTTTGTGATCATGTTCAGAGAAAAACATGGTATATTTTTCTGGGTTTTCTGCTAGGTCCAGACATCTTAAGAAGATTTTTGTGATCATCAAAATCACAAAAATCTTCTTAAGATGTCTGGACCTAGCAGAAAACCCAGAAAAATATACCATGTTTTTCTCTGAACACATTCGTTTCTCTGATCCTTTTACTGCATGTGATCGACAGGAACATGCGCAGATAAAGCTAAACCGATACCAAAACCACCCGATGATTTCCAAATCGAGGCTGAGCAGAAGAAACGAGAGCGTTTTTCATGAACTCACCGGAAAACTAGAAGGGACGGCGGCGGCAGCGGAGATCGGAGGAGGAACCGCCGCAGATCGAGAGAAGGGAAGCAAGCTAGTTGAGAAGGAAGACATGGGTTATGGTCGTTGCTCCGTGTCTGAGTGACATGAACACTTCTTTCACTCTTCGCGTTCTTCGGCTATGGGGTTTTTCACTTGGAAAAGTTGCTTAGGTGGAAGACAAGTGCAAGTTTCGGTTCTAGTTGTGGGTGCAGAGGATTGGACCCACATAAAACTTAAGTTGATGTTATCGGGACAAACTCAAATAAAGTAATCAACTGTTTGATTTCCTAACAAAACATTTTTAAACTTCTTAAAAACTTTAATACTTTTTTAATTTAAAAAATCATATTCTATTTTGATAAATACATCTTGTATCATTAACTTATACATAAATTATATATTATATAATCTTTCATTTTCTAAATTTAAAAAAATGATAATTTAAATATTTTAAATATTAATAGATCACAAATATTATCAGATTTTAATAGTTTATAATTTTTATGATAAATTTAACAATTTTTTAGTAAATTAATATTAATGATTATATATATAACTCAAATTAATATTAAATTTAAATATTACATAAAAAATTTGGTATTTGTATTTGACGGAGAATTTATTATCTAAATTTTTATAGAAATTCTATTTTTAATAAACTATATTTGTATAAATTACCGAAATTTTTATAATTTAAATAATTTTATTTTTATATGCCAAAAAATATTTCTATTAGACATCCTAAATTTCTTTTTCTAATATATTAATTTAATATTTTATTTATTCTATTAAATTAGACATATATCCTTTTTCAACCTATGTGTTTTACAATATACTTTACATTCTCAAATATATCCGAAGATCAAATTCAAATATATAAAATTGATATCTATATTATTATAAGATAGGAATTGCCTTTTCAAAATATTTAAAATCCGAAATTTGGATTTATATTTTCAAATAGATATTTGTGAATATTCAAGTAATAAAAAAATTATTATATATTTTAATTATTAAAGTATTATAAAGATATCTATTCATTATCTTGGTGTTTTTGTCTTTCTATATATATATATATATAACTATAGTTTATTATCTAATCATATAAATTATTCATATATAATCTATAAATTTATAAATTTTTAATCAAAAAATGATTAGAATTTATCGGATTCAACGGGAATCCGAAATTTTTATCGCGGATAATACATTTTGGATACTTGGAAATTTGGATTCAAATACGAGTTTTAAAATGCATAATCCATGGATTCAAATATCCTATAAAAATCCTGTATACGATATCGGTGTTGAAGTAGGAAAATAAATATGTGATTGGAGAAAAATCTAGATTTTGGTAGAACACAATATTATGTTAAATATTGTGAATCATATTTATTTCCGTTATATCTATATTTTTTTATTTATTTTATTTGTTAATTTTCCTATAAATATGTGAGTTATTTTCATTGTAATATAACAAAAAGAAGAAGAGATGTAGTAATAAAGTAATTCTGTTTCTTTTCATTTGTCTTATTTTGTTTTCGTATTTTATTTTTCTACAATCGGTACCCACACCCACCCTTGATCAACACTTGCATATTTTAAATTATTTTCTAAAAATAAATGCTTTTTATAATAAATCGACGGATTTGGACGAAAAAAAAACTAGTTCAAGAGGTTTAAAAACTAGGGTCGGACGTGGGGTTTTGAATATGTCGGATTTTGTTGGCATTCACCCCATATCCTTCTGAATTTGCCTTTTTAAAATTTGGTATTCAGAATTCGAATACCCAAAATCCAAATATTCAAAAACTGAAATTAATGATCCGATAATTTAGGATATCCATTAGCGGAACTATATGGAAATAGATCCATGGTGATCAAAGTGTGAGACGGATGTTGGGGTTTGATTATTCTCCAATATATCTTGCAATTACTTGGACGTATGCTATATTAGCTGGTTATTTAACAATATGTTTTTTTGTTGTTTTAGTTTAATTGTTTGTATTATCAATTTTTATTATATACTAAGCAAATTTAAAATAATATTGAAATGTGCATGAACTAATTCGACTTTTCTTATTGTGTTCTACAATAAAATATAAAAATAAATAAAACTAAATACAGGATTTCCAAAAACAAAAGTAAGAAAAAACATAATTTGGAAAACATGGCACAACATAAAATAAATAAATTCACATATTTTTTATTGTCGCTTTTGTTAATACTTTTGTTTTACGTTGTTTCTATTTTCTAATATCACATACGTTTTTTAATTATAACTATTTTTGTTTCAATACTTTTTTTTATCTGTGATGTATTTCAAAATACATTTTTTTGTGTGATAATATTTTTGAAAAGTTTTTTTTTTGCACGATTTTGTTTCGGAAAAACAATCGTGAATGAGTTAGAATCCAGAGGATAAAATTCAAAGGTCCTTTATATTAGGCATATTATTATCCTAAAATAACAAGGACTATAATGGTGAAATAATTTATTTATTGTTTAAAAATGATGCTAAACCTGCAAAACCTTCAACAATCATATTACTATACACACATATATATATATATATATATATGTATATGTAATCAATTAAAATAGGGAAAATGGCATAAACCCACATGAATTTATTCAAATGTGTAAAATCAATACACTAATTTTCAATTTGACAATTAACCACATCTGAATTCAAATTTTCCCATAATACACCACCAAATCGTGAAAAATTTTGCAATTACCCACATATGGGGATTGAACGTGTCAGCTCATAATCCGAACGCTGACGTGGTCTAACACATCATAATGAACCGCCACATCATCAGATGCATAAAATGCCACATCAGAAATTCGGGTCACTTCATCCGGTTCTCTGATTCGAACCGGTTTGTGCTTAACCGGTTAAAAAAATGATTTAGGGATTTCGAACTCTCTTTTCTTCCTCTGTTGGTCGAACACTCTTCCGGTGAGACGACCGAGCTCCAACGTTGCTCCGGCGTTCTGACGTTTCCAACCGTTGCGAACGGAGATTCCTCCGCCGTAACCCTCATCAGCTCCATCCGCTCCGCCGTCGTCGCCTCCAGGTTCAGATGAACAAAGTACTGATTCCTCGGATGATACAGAGCTCTTAGACCCCTCTTCAAGCTCTCGCAATCTCCTCTCAAACTGAAGATCAGGTAGGCGATTGTGGGTATGGATTCTTTTGAAGTTTTCGTCACGCGAAGCTTCGATTCGACGAACTTTGGATCAGATTTCGCGGCGGTGCGCGGGCTTACGCGGCGGTGAGAGAAGCGTAGGCACGCGGGAGTGAGGAAGTGGAGAATTTGGAGGTGATGATGAGGAGAGTGGAGGCGATGAAGAAGAGAATCAGAGACAAAAACCATACTTTCCTTTTGTTCCGATACTCAAGCTTCGAGACATCCATCAATGGCGGTTTCGGGAAGGGGAACGAATGATTATATATTCTGGGTTTTTGAGTTTTCGCTCATTTTATTCATCCAAGACACATATTTTCTTCTGGATTTTTAGAGAATCTGATCGAACACTAGTTTCGTGTTCTTCATCATCTCATAAAATAAATCGATTATTTTCAAAAACCCTTAAATCAATGTCTTGGGTTTTTGGGAGAGAAGAATCTGTTTAAGCATTGCGAAAGTGTGAGAGGTGAGATTTGTGCCAATGATTCCCGTAGAATTTTTGGGGTCTACCACTTTTTTGTTACATGCATATATGTTCATACAGTGGCCGGTTGTTCGCCTGCGAGTGTTCACCAGAGATGAGAGTTTGTTGAAAGACAATTTCGAAATCTCTAAATCATTTTTTAACCGGTTAATTACAAACCGGTTCGAAACTGAGAACCAAATTAAGTGACCCGAATTTTTGACATGACATATTAAAAAATTTTCAATTTTAACCCACTTTTCGGATGTGGCGGTTTATTATAATGTGTTAAGCCATGTCAGCGTTCGGATTATGAGCTGGCACGTTCAATCCTCAGTATGTGGGTAATTGCAAAATTTTTCACGATTTGGTGGTGTATTATGGGAAAATTTGAATTCAGATGTGGTTAATTGTCAAATTGAAAATTAGTGTATTGATTTTACACATTTGAATAAATTCATGTGGGTTTATGCCATTTTCCCATTAAAATATGAGCAACTGGTGATAAAGGGTTCAGAAGAATCGTCTCACACACATCAATGCAAATTGCAGGAATCATTACTTGGATTGCACACCATCATCACCATCATCATCTCCCCAAATTATATTATTGGTTTTGTTTTTTTTTTTTTGCTTGGGAAGTGACCTGCCACTTTTCACATTATATATAATATAATTATTTACATATAAAACAAAGCATATTTATAAGCCCACGTATGTACAGTACATATTTTGTCTTGTTTTGGCATATCAAAGTCGATTGATTGAGTTAGGTTTCAATTCATTGGATAAGAATAAAGATCCGTTGTTGGGTCACGCCATTTTTTGTTCTCTCGTCTACCTTTTTTTTTTTTGGTAAACCTCTCGTCTACCTTTTGTTCTCTAAGAGATTTTCAGGGTTGATCGAGAGTTCAAAGGAAGGAAGAAAGACATATTTTTGCGTCCCGTCTCCATCTCTGGCCTCTGATTTCAGGTAAAAATCAGAGTTTTTGTGATTTTGGTTATGTGGGTTTATGAAAATTTATGTTCTTTTCTTATGGGTTTAAGCCAAATCTTCTCCTTTTTCATTTCTCTATTCTTTCGTACAAATTTTTCATACAAATTTTTCATGAGGGTTTAAACTTTGCAATTTTGGCCCTGATTCGATGATCACTCTGCAGATTTGTATTGAGAATCGAAGAAAGTTGCAAATGTCTTTCTTTTCGTTGAAAAAGTTGCGACCTTTAATACCATAAAGGATGTCAATTTTTTGTTTTGATTAGGATTTTTGTCTCTTTAAGTAACTGCATTTGATCCATTTGAAGATCGAACACTTTCGATATTGTCTGAAACTGATTGTTTGAAATAAGCTTTTTTTATTTAAATAAATCCATTGTTTCTGAATGGTTTGTTTCAGTTGTATCCATGGGATCTGAAGGGCCACCAGCTGTGACGATTCACATTACTGGCTTCAAGAAGTTCCATGGAGTCGCTGAGAATCCTAGTGAAAAAATGGTGAGCAATCTGAAAGAGTATGTGACGAAGAACGGTCTGTCGAAAGATATTGTTATTGGTAGCTGTAATGTTCTTGAAACTGCTGGACAAGGAGCCGTGGATTCGCTTTATCAGATGCTACAATCGTCGGTTAACACGAAAGAATCTGAGTCATTGAACTGTGGAAAAACGATTTGGGTTAGTTTGTTAGTTCATTGTCTGAGTAACGCTTCAATTGTCTTTGACAGTATCAGAGTCATAAAGGGTTGAATCTGTATATAATCCTAATATCTTTTTTAGGTTCATTTCGGAGTTAATAGTGGTGCTATGAAGTTTGCTATTGAACAACAAGCTGTGAATGAAGCTACTTTTTGTTGCCCTGATGAAATGGGATGGAAACCTCAGGTTTTATTGTGATTGTGCCTTTGATTTTCTTGTTTTGGATGAATTGTTCGATTCTCCGAGTCATTGTTTTGTTCTGCAGAAACAGCCAATCATTCCAGATGATGGTCAGATCTCAACTGCGAGAAGGGTATGTAGAATGTTGAACCTTTTCTTCTTAAGATCTCGAGGTTTCAAGATTTGTACCTTTCTTGATCGGTCATTCATTTTTTTAAGAGTATTTTACGTTTTGCAGACTTCGCTTCCTGTCGAGGAGATAACAACGGCGTTAGAGAAAAAGGGCTATGAGGTCATGACATCGGGTGATGCAGGCCGGTTTGTCTGCAACTATGTATATTATCACTCGCTGAGATTCGCAGAGCAGAGCAAGATCAAGTCATTATTTGTTCACATTCCTCTTTTCGCTACCATTAACGAGGAGACCCAGATGGGATTTGTGGTTTCTCTGCTTGAGGTACTAGCTTCTTTGTACAAGTAATGTTATTCAAGTTCAGCCCAGAACTTGATCCTTTTCATTCTTATTCATGATAGTTGTTTCATGGATCATTTGTCTCATGAAAGCCTTCATCAATAAATGGAAATATGTTTGTCATTTCTCCGGTTATCTCTCTTGTACATCTACTCGTTATTTCCCTTCATACTCATATTGAAACTCGATTCAGTTTTTTATCATTTTCATTTTACCAAGTGTTTGCTCTGTCACTTCTCATACTCAAACTTATGAATGTAGTGTAAAACCAGCAATCTTTCAGGCAAATTTCTCTTATGCCCTTTACCGCCTTGAATCAACAGTTAAATTTTGCTGCATTTTATATTCTTTCACATATTTCTGTATCTTCTGTTTTTATGTGTTCGTTATAACTCTTCCTACCCAAGAATAGTTTCATTTCAATGTATTTCTTGTTCGTCTTATATACAAAGATTCGGTTTCTTCTTATCCTAATCTGTAGAACAATTGACCGTTCAAAGCTTATACACATACGTTCTAGTGAATTCTGAAAAGCTGCAGTCTTTAGGGACAAGGTCTAACCTTTAGGCTAGTTTGCTTCAGTGCCTTGTATCTACACTATATCACAGCTTACATTTTGCAGTATAAGAAGTAATCTTAAAAACACATTGCCCTATTTGATTTCAAATCTTATCTATATCTGATCTGGTTTAGTCAGCAGCCGAGAGCATCTTCTTCTGTTACCAGACCTGGAAACTGTTCGAGCAGGCAATAAACAGGTGGAATGGTCAATGTCTGAACGCTTCCATACGCGTTCCAGCAAAAAGGGTTTGCCAAAATCTGGCCTTTAGAAGGAAACAACTCAACATCTGCGAGTTTCAGATCAGTACAAGGGACTGAATCGCTGCAAGCAAAATGCATCGGAGGGCTTTTCAGGTTGTAAGTCCCCTTGATATGTGCGTATAGAACGTCACTTACTAATACCGCACTGGTTTGGTTGGTGCAGTTTTTGGTTTGGCAGTAGTACTGGTCTATGATGATAGGGTTCCGGACATTATCCATTAGGATGTTACTGAAAACGATTCTTGAAACTGTTCCAGACCCTCCTTGCCATGTCTTGATCCGAACACCGTTGTCTGAGTCCCTTATGGTTGAGTTAGTCACTGTAATGTTCGAGACACATGCACGAGAGTTGTGTACACCAAGGCTGCCTATGCTGCATCACATAGTATATAGATGTATGGAATTTCAGTTCAGTTATTAACCATTTCAGTGACTTTGAGAGAGGCTTTTAGAGGGTTTATGAGCTTGATTCATGTGGGCTTAGAGAAGTTATTAACCGAAATCGCCAATGATCCCTGTTTCCTTGTAACTGAAAAAGAAATAGGCAATCAGATCTGATATAATTCTCTACTTGGTCTATTATAAACACCATTAAATCTCTTGCAATAACTTCTCTCTCAAGTTGGGTTTAAAGGTTAATTTCAACAGTTCAGAGAAAGAGAGGGAGCCTTGTGAAAACTCCAAAGGTTAAGGAGACTTTAAGCCTAGTATTGAGGGTTATAGCTTTGCCAATAGAGAGGATGGAGTTAGGCAGAAGAAAGAAGAAGATGGAGAAACTTAATGAAAAAGAAGCAACAAGTTACCTAATTCCGTGACTTGGACCGCAGGTAATGTTCTGAATGTCAACATTAAAACACCTGGCTCCAATTGATATGCAATCATCCCCTGTCAGAATTTCACGGTTTTGATCCAGTCAGGACAATGCAGTCATGTTTGAAACCCGGTTAGCTATTGACCTCAACCGCTGTTGTCCACTCACTTCCATGAAAACGCCAGTCAGCGGTTTGTGACTGCAATCGCAATCGCTGTCTAGTATCGTTCTAATGTTTATAACCGAAAACAGAGGAAACAGCCAGAATTTACCGCTGGATATGACGGAATTGTGGATCTGAACGTTGTTTGTGTTCTCGATGTGAATCCCATCAGTGTTGGGACTCGAAGCTGGTGCTTTAATGGCGACTGAGTCCACAAGAACATCACTGCAATTGTCGAACCTGACATGAAACTGGGGACTGTCTTTGAAGCTTAATCCTCGGATTGTCAGATTCGAGCTTTGGAAAAACCGAACTGCCTGAATCAGAACAAGATCAAATTCTACAAAACATTCATCTTCTAAACTATCGGTTTTTGTTCTCAGAGCTCTGCAAGGCATTGCTTACCACAGGACTGTCGCAAGAGCCTGTCTGAATTGTACCGTTAATCCCCTGTTTTGTTTCGGATATTGACAGTAAATTGAGGAACTTGGGAACGATCAAACGGATTGATAAAATCGAAAATGAGTGGGAAAAAAAAGGTGTGACCTTGTGAGGTTTGCAGGGCAAATCCCACCATTTCTGGCCTCTGCCATTGATGACACCGGAGCCTTGCAGTGACAACCCATGAACACGATAAAACATCAGCCACTGTCTCTTGTTGTTCCACGGCCATGACTCCGGTCCTTCCGGAGGAACAATGATTCCATCGATCTGCGTTATACTTTCTTTGGGTTAAATCTAGCGAAATCTCGAATAAAGTTTTCACATCGATGCCTTTTTCGCACGGTTGAAAAACTTCGACTGACTGATCAGTTGTATTACAAGAAACAGGGTTTGAAATATGGGTTATTACCAGAACAAGAGATGAATTCTTCTGACAGTTTGGTTTCTTGGGTTACAAGTTATCAGTGATCGAACATATCATTAGCTTACTTGGAGAACAAGTTGGGAATTGCAGGGACCGTTGAAAATGGCGGGATTCACCAAGAAACAGAAGCTGTAGGGGACAAGAACAACGCTCAACTCGGGACTCGATCTCTCACAAGCCGAGTCCCAAGCCATCTTGAAAGCTGACGTGTCATCGGCCACGCAATCACCGACGGCGCCAAAGGAGGTGACGTCGAAGAAGACGATGTAGCCATCGTGGCTCACGGGGACTGGAACTGGAGCCGTGGGGCCTGAGGGGTCGGAACGAGGAGAGCTCGGTTCGGGTGAAGGGTTAACGTTAATATCATCAGTAAAGACTCGAGCTTTAGCCAAAGTTGAAAAGAGAAACAATATCCAGAAGGAGAAGGAGAATCGCATTGTTGTATCAAATAATGATTTTGAAAGGTAAGAAGAGTTTATGAACGGGGGAATGAGTTATGTATGTATGTATATATATACACATATATATATATATATGTATGTATGTCTAAGACTGGAGTTTCATAATTATCCTATGAATGTGTAGTGTGAACTTTTAGAGAATAGGGTTTGGCCCAAGTTTATGTCATGCGCGAGGTATGAGGAAGTGTCATATGATAACGAGAGAGAGAGTGAAACTCACCTTCGAGAGAAACCTTTGACTTGATGATTTTGTGATGAAATAATTGGAATTTTGGATATTTTTGAAATTTGGGATTATATTTTAAATTCTAGAAATGGGTTTTTGTATGGTACTCTATCGTTTTTAAATAGATGTCATTTCAAAATATATTTTTTATTATTTAATACACATCATTTAAAAATTTCTGGGTGATTTTTTCCAAAAATTTCGAATATTATCTTTAATTAAAAATATTTAAATTCATAGAATATTAATTAGAATATAATTTAATAAGGGTATATGACTATTTTTTATTTTTATTTTTAAATTGAGAAAAATTTAATACGATATTTATTTAGAAATAGAGAGAGTTTAATCATGGATTAGGATACCAAATAATTTGGAAATTGTTGTAGTTTTCGGTTATTGTTATTGGTACAGTTTACAGGTTTGATTCGGTTTGGTTCTAATGCAAAGGTGATCGTTTTGGTTTGAATAAATAGAGTCAAACCGAATAAAATACAAATGCATTTGAATCAAATGTCTTAAAATTGAATGTGAAATAATAAGAAAACGAATTAAAAAATTCTTTCAAAAATTGAAACATAATAAAATCTAAATTGAAAAAAGGTAAATAAAAATCTAATGGATATACATTTTTCTTTCTAAAATACTAGAAAGCAGACTTAAAAATTGAAAATACACAACCCTAACTCTGACTTGAAATAAACATGTGCCCATATACCTACCTATCCACTAATGGAACTATCTAGTAAACGGGATCATGGTCATTAAAATTTTAATATCTATAAAGAGATAAAAAGAAAAGGTTTTCAATTTTTTTTAAAGATAGTTAATTTACTTAAAATTTTATGTGAATAGATAAAAAAGGAAGATATTATGCAAGAGAATAAATATAATTAATTTTAACAAAAAAAAATAAAGATAATGAAGTAATTATGCAAAAGGAATATAAGTAGGTGAGGGACTAAAGGCTATACACTATACACTATACACTATACACAACCAGTGCAAGTGTTCAGTGCTCGTTGCTTCCTTCTATTAATGTGACCACATTTTCACCACTCCCCAACTTGCCTCTCTTTTTTACTCTTTTGACTTCCATTGTTGTTTTTCTTTTCTAATTATTTTTCATTTACACTAAAAATTATGATTTTATTGTGAGAGATGAAACAATTTTAGAAGTTACATAAAAAAATATAGATTTTTAGATAATATTTATGTCATTCATTGGTATTTCTATAGTTATATATAGTCGTTATCAATTGTAATAGAACATAGGGGTGGGCACGGGTCGGGTACCCGGAATTTTTAGGGTATCCGAACCCGAACCCGAATCCGAAAAATAATACATTTTGAAACCCGAACTCGAATCCGAGTTTTCGAGTATCCAAAGTGTATTACTCGCGAGATAATTTTCGGGTACCCGCGGATACCCGAACCCGAAAATTTTTAATTATTTTTTTTAAAAAATTATAAATTTATAAATTTTATACAAATAATTCATAAAATTAATGAAAAAAATTTCAAATATTTATATTTAAAATAATTAGATAATAAAATAATAGTTTTTATATATATAAAAATATAAAAATTCAAGATAATTCATAAATATTTTTATTAATATTAAAATTTTAAAATAAATAATATTTATTTTTTATTACTCGGGTACCCGCGGGTAATTACCCGACCCGAAAGTGTAAACCCGAACCTGAATCCGAATTTCGGGTTTTACATATTTTAAAACCCGGTCTCTATCTCGTAACATAACGGGTACCCGATTTTCGGGTATCCGACCCTCGGGTCGGGACGGGTACCCGATTTTTGGGTAATTTTGCCCACCCCTATTAGAACATAATCTAAAATAGTTATGGAAAAATGAAAAGATAAAAATATTGAATAATGATGGCTTTACTTTTTCTTGTAATGAGGACAATTTTTTTCAAGGATAATTATATGTATATATATAGTTAAATATGATGTCTTAAATTATATAATATCTTTATTATATTCAAAATCAGTATATATATACATATTTTTTCTTTTGTCAATGAAAAGTACCACTATTACTAAATAAATTTGTCATTGATAAATGTAGACTGTATATATGATCTTAGTTATGATTAAAGTTAAGAAAGAGGTGGACCAAATCTAGAATTGTGCAGTTTTGAAAGAGGGAAAGTTAATGAAATACCAACCTTTGACAAAAAAAAAAGTCTAAAATTTTGATTATTTGTGAACATATGATGACTACATTGGAAAATGACCAAAAAAAAATTCTAGATTTATTCCAAAATGATGAATAAATTATATTTTTAAAATCAGAAAAAATTTAAAATATTCCACAAAATTAAGCTTTAGAACATGATTGTTTTTAAAAAATATCATTTTGATCATTTTAAAAGTAAATCTGAATCTTTAATTCGAGGAAGTGGAATTCCAAAAAAAAAGAAAAGTGGGAAGAAGTTTATAGAATATAATTTACTATGATTACGATATTTATATAAATAGAATACCTATTTTCAAGTCCATCTGTTAAGGTCTTTGAAATGCAAACCTTTCAATAAATGTGAATAACTATCTCAAACCTAACACCACATTTTTAAAAATATTATTCAAATAAATTTCAAAGATATTATTTCTATAAAAAAATATCAATTATTTATACTTCAAAATTTTCAGGATTATATCGTCAATGTCGTCAATATATATGTAACTGACATATCGACAATACGATAATTAAATATTTATATTTTTTAATCAAACCAACAAAAAGTTTTTGCTTAGACGTTTGTTGATGTGTGAATTAATAATATACAAATCCTATGTATTTCTGTTTAGCTTAATGTGACTCTCTCCATTATAATTTTATATTAATATTTATATTTTGTAATTGATTCTTTTATTTTTATTTATGGATTTTCTATTATTATTATTATTATGGTGAATGGGGTTTATTATTATTCTCTAAAATGGCAAGTATCAAGCACCACCTAACACTAACACATGACATGAACTACCCAACCCAACAGCTCTTTCAAACTTGTAAAATGACATAATCTCCATATTACCCTCACTTTCAATATCATTTTCCGGATATGCCCCTAGGTTTTGTGTTGGACGGTACACATGCATAACTAAACTCTGAATTCTTTTCTCGGTTAACTCGGGGATATTTCATTACCGAATTTTACATCCATTTTAATCATAAACTCAATCATAATTCTAAATTAAATATGGTTTTGTATTGTTCATTCAAAGAAATTATAAAATTATAAAAAAATATTCAAAAAATTTGATAGTTAATTTGAAAAAATGTTATAAATAAATATAAAATACATTGCATATACATATAAATCATGGTTTATTTAAACATCAAAATATAAAATGATTATTATTTTTATTTTTTCTTAGAATTACAAAAGAATCTGCATTTTGATAAACTTTTAATAAAAAAAATTTACAAAAAAGAACCAAGTTATTCCATGGATGAAATGAACCCATCTTTCATCCCATATAAAAAGATGTCGAAAATTCCAAACCAACGGACAGAGACTATTCCGGTTTTTGGTTAACCAATCCGTACCGGGCGATTTTAGTTGAGTAAATGGCAAAACCGTAATTTGGTATAGCTCCTCAATACCAGCTTCCATGCCATGCTTTGCTCCCGTCTGGTTCTGAGTCAGCCTCTCTCTCTCTCTCGTTGTTGGTGAGCTTCATCCTCTGCTTCAGCTTAAAATTACCGTTCTGTTATTAAACGATTATCTTCGATCTTATCTTCAGTAAAGATATCTCCTTTTTTCCGCCATTTTCGGCGAAGAACATCGAGGAATATCACTCGTTGTGCTGGGTTGTTTTTTTTTTAATTGAAATTGTTGCTGTCTGTTTTCTTGTCTCTGCTTCAGATTTTCCTCTTCTGGGTTTTGGGATTTAGCGGCGAAATCGATGGCGAGGAAGAAGATCAGAGAGTACGACTCCAAGAGACTTCTCAAGGAGCACCTGAAGCGTCTCACTAACGTTGATCTCCAGATCCGATCTGCTCAGGTCAATCTCCTCAATTTCACGATTTCTATGCCGAATCTGCTCAATCTTCTCTGAATTGTTTTTTTTTTTGGGATTCGATTGCGTAATTTCGATAGATCAAATGGGTTGATAGTACAATCTAGCCCTCTCTGGAGATTGATAACATGCATGATCACTGAATCAGATGTTTGTGTTTCCTTCAGGTGACACAATCTACGGACTTCACCGAGCTGACGAACAAAGAGCCATGGCTCTCGTCCACAAAACTAGTCGTGAAACCCGACATGCTGTTCGGGAAACGTGGGAAAAGTGGCTTGGTAGCTCTAAATCTAGATCTTGCTGAAGTCGCGGATTTCGTCAAAGCCCGTCTCGGAACCGAGGTGATTTGTCTTGCCCGTGTAATAAGAACAGTGAATCGGATTTGTCCTAAGGCAATTTAGTTTGACTGATGTGTGTTTCCATTTGAATCTTTTGTAGGTTGAGATGGGTGGCTGTAAAGCTCCTATTACTACCTTCATTGTCGAGCCCTTTGTCCCTCACGATCAAGAATACTACCTTTCGATAGTTTCGGATAGGCTTGGTTGCAATATAAGCTTTTCGGAATGTGGTGGCATCGAGATAGAAGAGAATTGGGACAAAGTACTAAGTTTTGGATGTTCCTGTCTCTGTTCTTCTGTTTCTACATTGCCTTTTTTCTTCTGCTGCCTTTGAAATTTCACCTTGAAAACATTGGTTCTGTCTTTGGTTAGGTAAAATCGGTGTTTCTTCCTACAGAAAAGCCAATGACATTGGAAGTATGTGCTCCACTGATAGCAACACTCCCTCTTGAGGTAAGTTTCTGTTTACTGTCTTACTGAAAGCCTTTTTGCCATATACACATATAACTGAAATGATGTTCTGTCTTGTAAGAGCTTAAATCGCCGGTTGTATTGCGTTCTTCTTGCGTCTTAAGGCATGTGAAACAATCTGTTAGGCCTAATTTAAGGTTGCTCAGTATTATGGGCTCTATTTCATCTACTTCTAGCAGCATGTCCTAATTCTGTTTCTGTTCTTTTCAGGTTCGAGGTAAAATTGGTGACTTCGTAATGGGCGTGTTTTCCGTTTTTCAAGGTTTGAACATCCAAGATACATCCACTTCTTGACTTTCAAGTATTCTGTCATTTTTTTCTCGACAAATATGAGATTCAGTACGAGATTTATGAGGATGTTAGCATCCGATCGATTGTACATTCTTTGCAGATTTGGATTTCAGTTTCCTGGAGATGAATCCGTTTACACTGGTTAATGGGGAACCATATCCTCTGGACATGAGAGGAGAGTTGGACGATACTGCTGCCTTCAAGAATTTTAACAAGTACGTTCCCACTGAGAAATGCTCTATCGGGTTTTCTGGAAATTTATCAGACATAATGTCTCACCATGACGTATACTATTTTATCAGGTGGGGTGACATTGAATTCCCTCTTCCGTTCGGAAGAGTTCTCAGCCCAACGGAAAGCTTTGTCCACGCGTTAGATGAGAAGGTTGTGACCGCCCTCTTTTCATAAACACCGGTTTAGAACTGTTAAAGCACATTATCCAATCTCGATGATCACATGTGTATGTGCGTGTGTTAATACTGCAGACAAGTGCTTCTTTGAAGTTTACCGTCTTGAATCCCAAAGGCCGTATTTGGACCATGGTAGCTGGAGGCGGTGCCAGCATTATATACGCTGATACAGTGAGTTATACAACCACTCCTTATGAGCTTATGATTTCATGGATGTAGTTTACAGAGTCGAGATCACCAAACCCTGAGGAGCTGATATCGATTTTCGCATAGTATCTCCTCCATTGTAAAATGAACTTAAATATCACGGAATTCAGTCATTCATAACCTTAAAGTTCATCCCCGTACTAGGAATGGGTTCTCGACATAGGATTATTTGATGGCTTACTCTCTGAACTTTTTTCATTAGATATGTTATTCTTATTTTTTTCACATTCTATTGTCAATTTGATTTGTTTTACTCTATTGTTTTTACGATTTGAAACAAGGTTGGGGATTTAGGCTACGCATCAGAGCTCGGGAACTACGCAGAGTATAGTGGAGCTCCTAACGAGGAAGAGGTCTTACAATATGCCCGAGTTGTCATTGATGTAAGTGATGCCAAAGAACTCTGCCTCTTCCCCTTTACTATTCTCTCTATACAGTTCCACTGTTTCAAGAACAAACTGTTTCGGGATTCGGTTGCAGTGTGCAAGTGCTGATCCCGACGGGCGTAAAAGAGCCCTTCTCATTGGAGGAGGCATTGCCAATTTCACTGATGTTGCTGCCACTTTCAACGGTATAATCCGATCCCTAAGAGAAAAGGTACAAAATCGCTTCTAAACCAATTCATTTGTTCTGTTTTCCTTGTCGTGGAGATAATTTCTCTTGCCTGTGTTTCGCCTTTTTCCTTTTTCACGTAAAACACAGGTGTTTTGTCATTGAAATGAACACAGGGCTTTGTCAGATTCAAAACCTTTCATGATTAGGCTCCTGATTCATCAGATTTTCAACTCATTGCGTTTTTTTTTTTTACTTTCTTGGCAGGAATCTAAGCTAAAAGCGGCTAGAATGCACATTTACGTAAGGAGAGGCGGTCCGAATTATCAGACTGGTCTGGCAAGAATGCGATCTCTGGGAGAGGAACTCGGTGTCCCTCTAGAGGTAAACAAACTAGTAAAACCGCTTCGGTTATTAGTAGCATTTGGTCGTGATTTGGTTGGTTTTGTGTTGGCTTTTGAAACTTCTAACCGAGCAAAATATATCGCAAATACACGAGAAATGATCAAAACCCGTCTTTCTGATTGTTTTCGAAAGATGAAAGTGAAGTTCTTTGTTGAATCATTTTACGTTACATCGAATCTTGAACTGTGAAGGTGGTTTCGGTTTCAGGTGTATGGACCGGAGGCAACGATGACAGGAATATGCAAACGAGCCATCGATTGCATCATGTCGCCTGATGCGTAAATTCCGTTATCTTCATGGATTGATGATGAACCCAAATCTGGGAGGAAGTCTGTCTGATTCTTGTGTTCATCTCTCTCATATACAAAAAAATATGAACAAAAGCACATCATGATTCGTGATGATGCTGTTTGCTGTGAACTATTTTTGTTTCTGTTCCATTGTGGATCAACTTGTAATAATTGTAATCGAGATTTTGTTATATTATAATCTCGATCTTCAGTTACACATAATTTCCAAGAGAAACAAAACCTGTGTTTCACTGTCTGAGCCTGAGGAAGCATAACACCGTTTTGATGTCTGATCAGGAAGAACTGCAGAGGGTTGTGAACTAGTTCACTTGTTCAGGGAACTCATATGGTAATATCGACTATACATAGATACAGCCAAGAACTGGAAGATGAACTCTGAAATAAAGCCGAAAAATACTCAGAATATATACTGAAACATCCAACATCTAGGCAGAAAGAAGCTTGTTCTTATAATGTTTTTATTAATGCTCAACCAAGTTCAGAGGAGCTGATGCAGTACTTGTACACACCGAATCTACTAGTCTATGAGCTCTAAGACAAACCCGGTTTCCATATACAAACGTGTTTATACATATACGCTTATATCTATATCATCTACCCGGTCCAAATGCAAAAACCCGAAAAACAATAATATCAAATGCAGAAGAAAGAAACAAAGAACCTCAAAGAATTTTAGAATTTCGCAGGTTCATTCCGCTTAATCAGAGGGCGAGTTGAAGATTTTTCCATGCTTATCGTCTCTTGCTTTGTGATCTTGAAGCAGGGTTACTTGCATCCGTATCCGAGTTTTCCTTCTGCAACTCAATCTCCATACTGTCCCCATGAGTTTTTGAGCGTCTTCGGTCCTGAAAGTTTGCATTTTTTCCGGTTCTCATTTCAGTTAAAAGTAGCATGCTTCCTTGCTAAACCAATAATTGAAGCTAATAGCATCAATGGCCAAGATCAATGCCTTTTCATAGTTATTTCTTTTTCCCCTTCAAACATGTTTAAACTTTCAGACATCCTCTGTTTTCTGGTTCTATTCTAAGTTTTGCATTTGGGTTTAATCTTCTGTTCTGTTCATGTGAAGTTTCTGAACTAACCTCCCTTGGAATGGGATATTCCTCGGACTCGAGCATACGGACAACTTGGCTCATCCTCGGCCTCTTGTCAGAAACTGGATCGACGCATCTCAGAGCAGTCAAGAGGGAATCAGAATTCAACTGTTGTGAGAGAGAACGAGTTTGGATTTGCAATTTGGGAGAGAAAAACCTTAAAAGTTCAGATCTTTGAAGTCCTCTTTGCCATTACCAAGCTGAGACAAAAGAATGCCGATTACACAGAACCAGATCCCAAAGCAAACGAAACTGAAATCCAAAACCCATGTCACAAACCACCAAAATTCATCAGAAGAAAACACAAAAGAAGCAAAACCCAGATGCCAGAATTCACCCAAATAAACAGCTAAAATGGAAAAAAAAGGCGAGACCTGTTGTTTTCTCTGCAAAGGCAAGTGGCAGTGTGGAGGGAGAATGAAAGGACTGTGGGATCTAAGCTGGTAAGGAGCTTCCGATCTCCTGTTTCCCACCATCATCTTCAACCAGTCCACTAGATTCACCTGTAACCACGTCGGTCCGCTAATAAATCATCGAGAAATTGATCTAAATCACCAAAATAATGTTCTATATCGTCTTACCTCATGAGGAGGGCGGCCATAATCCACAGGATCTCTTCCAGTTATCGCTTCTAAGAGCAAAACCCCGAAGCTGTAAACATCACTCTTCTCATTCAACAGTCCGGTATTTGCATATTCTGGAGCAACATACCTGCAAATCATACAAGGATGGAATAAGAATTTGAGGCTGAATCCCAAAAGCTTACTCGGCTGTTTCGCGAAATCCCTTACCCGAATGTTCCCATTACTCTTGTAGTCACATGGCTTTTCCCGGCACCAAGCAACTTGGCGAGGCCGAAATCTGAAACCTTGGCATTGAACTCGTCATCAATCAGTATATTGCTAGATTTTATGTCTCGATGAACTACCTTCGGCTCGATGGCCTCGTGGAGATAAGCTAGACTGCAGAAAATGAGCCGTATTAGTTAGAAATGGCAAAGGGAAAAAAGAAAATACCGGGCATATGAATCATTAGCTTATTACCCTTTTGCCGTGCCAATGAGAACTTTCATCCTAGCCTCCCAAGTGAGATATCCGTTCTGTCTCATCCCTCCGTGAAGCCACTGTTCTAGGTTTCCATTGTTCACATACTCGTAAACTAACATCCTACAATTTGTTCAAGAGACAGATGATCTCAGTCACGGGGAAAGGCTTGAACTTTTACCGCAATTCTCACAAAATGTTAGCTTTTTTACCTGTGTGTGCCCTCAATGCAGTATCCAAGAAGTCGAACCAAGTTCTTGTGTCGAACATGACCGATAGCATCAACCTCAACTCTGAACTCTTTCTCGGCTTGGCCCCTACAAATCCATCAAGAAACTCGATAGAGGGACAAACCCACGAGATGAAAAGGAAATTTCGGAAACTCTTGATGCCCAAACTCACAAGTTGTTCAGAATTTTCTTCACTGCAACTGGTGTCCCATTGATCAAATTTCCACGGTAGACAATGCCGTATCCGCCCTCACCGAGAACGTTTTCCTTTGCAAACTTGTCTGTTGCTAATTCAAGATCTCTCAGAGTAAACCAGTGGCCCCAACCAAGGTGAGAAAACTCGGGCAGACCTGTCAATGGCGATGGACCGGCCATGTTATATGATGATGAAGAAGGTTTGTTCACTCCACCCGAGAAACCTTCTTCCCCTGACTGAGAATGCTTATCGCTGTCTACACGGTGAAATGATCCTGACCGGCTATAATCTCCGTTCTTTCTCTTCCCCCCAACATCCAAATGAAGCAAAACTTTGTCGGATTCTTTACTGTTTTTGTCCTGAATCGTTAGAAGGATGCCATCGCGAGGAGCAAAGTTACTTGCTGAGACGTGTTCAACTCTGACTTCTTTGATCTCCTTTGAGACAGGAGGGATTTGGCTTACTGGAAGACTGGTTTTAGATCTTCCTGATTTCTTTTTCGAAGTGAGACAGAATGAGAGGACGGAGAGGATGGCTATGATGAACAGAGCAACCGCTATTCCGATTACTTCCCAGACCTTAAGTCCAAACACATGGCTGTTTCTAGAGAGCTGATCTTTCAGATGACCACCCATTGTTCCTCCTCCTGCAATATTCACTTGCAATAACACGAAACAGCAATTACAATCATGGAGGACGGAATGAATTCAAGAATCATCCAACTAAGAGAGATACCCAAATGAGAAAACTTTGAAGGAAACACATGAGAATGCACAGAGGACTGATGAAGATTCCTCCAAGTTGAGTCAGTGGTCCAATATTATCCACAATCAGAAACCGAGGAGTTAACAATAAACCCAGAGAAAGACATTTCCCTCAGGAAAACAAAGGACCACACAACAGCTAAAATCAAGTACAGCAAAAATCCAGAGCAGTGAAAGCAAATTAATTGCCAATTCAATGATGCAAAAGCCGAGCAATGACGCATAAAGACGACTAAACTTTTACCTGTTCTGTTGTTTCTAAAATCACACATCTCACATCACGAACATGAACTAAAAGGGAATCAGAATTCAACTGTTGTGAGAGAGAACGAGTTTGGATTTGCAATTTGGGAGAGAAAAACCTTAAAAGTTCAGATCTTTGAAGTCCTCTTTGCCATTACCAAGCTGAGACAAAAGAATGCCGATTACACAGAACCAGATCCCAAAGCAAACGAAACTGAAATCCAAAACCCATGTCACAAACCACCAAAATTCATCAGAAGAAAACACAAAAGAAGCAAAACCCAGATGCCAGAATTCACCCAAATAAACAGCTAAAATGGAAAAAAAAGGCGAGACCTGTTGTTTTCTCTGCAAAGGCAAGTGGCAGTGTGGAGGGAGAATGAAAGGACTGTGGGATCTAAGCTGGTAAGGAGCTGTCATGTAACCAAAGCAACAACAGTGATAATAATAGTAAGAAACCAAACCACAGAAGAGATGACAAAGAAACAGTGTGGCCCAGCGAGCATATGAACATGGAACAGTTAAAAAAAAAATCGGAACTGTTTTTTCTTCTTTTGCTTAAATTATGAAGGAGAACAAAAGCAAACCATAAAAAAGGAGAAAACTTTTGAAACGGGCAGTGAGATCTGGTGGAAGGTTACCGAGAAAAGGAAGAGGAAATGGGGTTATCAAGTGTTAGGTGATGAAGTTTCAGTTTTTAATTTCCTGGGTGGTCAGAGAAGATGGATGTCGTGCCTTGCCTTGCATTGCATCACAATACAATCCAATACATTCACACAAAAAAAAGCAACAAAAAAACCTCTACATACACAGGGAGAATGGTATATATATATATAATCAGAATCCAGAGGGTAAAGGAGAAGCCATGGAAATGTGTAAGGTCCCATTCCATGTGTGTGTTTCAGTGAATAATGATGATGATGGATTGGTGATGGTGGTGTGTCTTTATTACCACCATTAATATTGGTTTTATTACACGAAAAAAAAAACATAACAGAAGAAAAATGTTTGCGGTTAAACTAGAAATTAGGGGTAATAAATGTGAGATTTATGAGACAGAACAACGCTAATGGGGAGATGGTGGGGAACTTGTGCATTTTCGCCATTTTTGAATTAATTGTTCTATAAACTCCTCTACTGCAGTGTTGTCTTCACCTTCTTGGCTTCGTCTTTTTTTTTTTTTTTGTTAAGAGTTTCATCTCTATCCACACATCCTCCCCTGTTTTTTTTTTCTTTTCATATATATATATATATATAGATAATGATGATACATTGCGTGCGTGTAATGGATATGTTAATCTGGTGCACATGCAAACAAAAAGGTGCTCCTAATTAGTAAATTATAATACCGCTGTAATGTTGAAAATTAACGTATGATTAAAATATTAATTGAATTAATTTTTTTTTAACTTTAGGGGCTAATGATTAATTTGACCTCACATGCAAACCTTAGTTACCGCAAATTATGTAAGCTTCTCTCTTGCGTTCTAATTATTCTTTCTATCCTGTTGAGCTTTGAGTTATTTTTTTTTTATTTTACAAAATTTATGATAAGTTGTAACTAAAATTTATTTTATTTTTGTTTTGGACCTCGACACATTATATACAGTTAATCAAAAAAAGATTTACATGTTTGTTCAAATCTTTATTGGATACAATTTTCTATTTTAGTTATTCTTTTTATCCTGTTAGGTTTTTGAGTTATTTTTTTTTTTTACAAAAATTATGATAATTTGTAATTGAGATTTACATATTTGTTCACGTACGAGATTAGTTTGGACCTCGACACTAGACATACGGTTATCTAAAGAAAAAATTTACACGTTTGTTCAAATCTTTATTGGATCTCGTTTTTTATTTTAGTTATTCTTTTTATCTGAATACATTCCAATTCAATGTACTTGGATTGATTTTTATTTTAAGATATTTATTTAGATAGATGTTTCTATAATTATGTAAATTTTAAATTTTATTTTGATTGGATTTTTTTTAAAGTTCTTTTTTTTATAGATTTCTATCTCTCATTCATTCAAATTTTATTTATTTTCATACTGTAATTTTAAATTTTATTATATCAATAAATTTAGTTTAAGAATCAATTTTTATAAATTCAAATGCTTTTGAAATACTAATATATATTATTCACTCGATTCAATTCGATTAAAACGAATCATACCAAAATATCAACAATGTCACAGCGATTAACCCAAAAAAAAAACAATATCGCAATGATTAAATATTACTCAATCATTCCTCATCATCATTTAAAAAAATACCTATATTGTTTTTTTATTTTGGAGAGAGAGAGAGAGAGAGAATTCTAGAAAATGTTTGAATTGTGAAGCAAATCTATACTTGAAGGATAGGTTGCTTAGTCTAACTCGCCATCTCCCTGACGGAGAAAGTATAACAAAGCAAGAACTTCACGTGGAACATTTCGATTCAAGCCATAAAGTACAGAGATCTGCCCAACCTATTTTCTTATTTATATATTTTCATTGCTATTTTAAAAATCTGTTTATCCACTATTATATTTATTCATTGACAAATAAAATTACCAAAAAAAAAAGAAACACACATGATAAATCATGGGGCTGAGAATCTGAGATTAAGATATTTGGGCCTAAATATTGTACACGTAAGCCCAATGTAGGCCCAAACATCTCCCGCCTTCAGGCATCCCCGAAGCTTTTATTCAAAATCTCTCTCTCTCTCTCTCTCTCTCTCTCTCTCTCTGTGTGGCAATCGTGAATTCGTGATCGAAGATGGCTGAGAGGGCAGGTGATTTGATGTAGTTTGACACATCGTTTCGTGTTGGGTTCCTTTCAATTTCGTATTTTTTTATGAGAAGATGTATAACGCGGTTCATGGGTGTCCAAAGCAGTTGACCTTTGGTCTGAAATCGTTGCGTCGGAAGAGGCAGAAGGAGAAGACAAGGGAAGACGAGATCCGAAGTTTGAAGCTGTGTATCAGAGAAGAAAGCCGCATCAGAAATCCTCTGAAGGAGCAGACTTGTACGTTTCCATTGTCTTTCTGTCTCCAGCTTCTTCCGAAATCTGAAATGGGTCCTGTTCCTTGGGTGTTATGCCTTGTCTGAAGAAACATTTTGGCTTCTATATATGTCTTTTTCGACAGGAAACGCGTCAGCTCGGTGAATGGGAATCGGGTTAGTCTTATCGCTGGACCAAAGAGAGATAGCTGGACTCGTTCACTTTCCACCAGGTGATTGAGTCGTTGCATTCAATTTCTTTCACATGAACACTGGCCTAAAATTTTTCTGATTACTTTCTTTTTTGGCGTTTCTATGGGAGTTTCCATCAGCGTTTTCTTGTTATATATGTTGTGTATCTAATTTTGAGTTTTGAGTAGAGTACTGCAGATCATTTGTCTGATGAAATGTCAGGAAAGTATCCGTTTTTTCTGTTAGATTAATGCAAGGGGAATGGATCATTTCTTAAGTTTGATGATTGATTCAGAGGGAGGACGAGCATTGCATTAGGCGCCTATGTGAACAACCAGCCTCAGCAGAATCCACAGAGGAGAAGAAAGCCTCCTCTTCCCAAGGTATATGTATCTTCAAATGTCCAATGGCGTTGTCAATGCAGAGTTATATGATTGATCATGTGAATATGCCTTTCTTTCTGACCCGACAGGGAAAAGTCGTATCTTCTTTAAATCTCCAAAAGGAGAAGGAATACTTTAATGAGGTTGATGCTTTTGAGCTGTTGGAAGAGAGTCCCTCTCCCAAGAATTCCGGTACATGGACCACAGGTGATCAAATCGTTCCCGAGATACCACATCTGTCCTCCAGATTGGAGAAATGGCTAATCTCCAAGAAGTTAAACCGCCCTTGTGGTCCTTCAAGCACGCTCTCTAAGATCCTCGAGAATTCAGCCACACGGTTGGAACCGATACATGATGATGCTTTTGATTCCTCAGCTTTGAAAACGCCCGAAAAGTCGTCTACTGCCAAGAGTTCTGCTTTGCTGCCTGTCCAGATATGTGATGACAGTTTGATAGAGAACATTTTTCCTGACAGAAAGATCAAGACGGAAACTGAAGAAGTTGACCTTGAAAATGCATTGAAGCGGCTGTCTTTGACATCTGGAGTGACCTCACAGTTAGAGTTTGAGGACTCGTTTTGTGAACTATTGGCAGTGTGTGAACAAACGCGTTCTTCAAGCTTCATGGAAGTCTTCTCCAACTTCTGGTCTGTCCTTATTTATCATCATTTACTTTCCAGCATTAGCTTTCTCTACAGTTTTTAGTGTGTTAATATACTTTCTTGAATATATTCTTGTCATGCATCTCCAGTTCTCAGCTGCTGGCTATTTTGTATGCTGTGGTTAAAGCGTGTTCTTGTATTACCGTACTTAACATTAGCTGATTGATGTCACATGCATCCATTTCAGTAGACCAGAAAGCATTGTCAAGATTGGTGAAGGTACCTTTGGAGAGGCTTTTAAGGCGGGTGACAACGTCTGTAAAATAGTTCCAATTGACGGAGACTTCAGGGTAAATGGAGAAATTCAAAAGGTAGTCATTTTATTTTAATTTCTTTATATCCGTGATGCTCCTAGTTAGTAAGTATCACGTCGCTTTTCAACAAGAGATGCAACATTGAAGAGGTCTAAACACGTGCAAGTTGAGGGAAGATAGACAGTTTTTCTTAGTTCATCTTCTCTTGACTGCAGAACCGGATGATGAAAGTATGTTTTCCTGTCAGTTTCTCTGAAAACCTACACAGGCATTTATGTACATCCACTGTTATCTCAATAAGAATGTTTGATATCAAGAAAAATCTAAAGGCATATGATGTGAATACTCTTTAGGCTTTTTCCTGAGTTTCTCGGTATAATATGATTGAGAATTTTCTCTAAATGATTCCGATTTATGTGTTTCTTTGTTACAGAGATCAGAAGAATTGCTTGAGGAAGTAATACTGTCCCAAACTCTTAATCAACTAAGAGAATGTGGGGCTGATGCTCACAACTCATGTCCAACCTTCATAAAAACCCAAGAGTATGTATTCTCTAAAATTGCATCCATGTAATCAAATCGTTATGGTCATGGGAAACATATAAGTGGCAATCACCGAATGTTAAGGTCATACATTAGGTACATTGTTCACCATATTGAAAAGAAAAATACAACTGACATGCCAGGAAACAGAGAAGTTGCAGAAAGTAGTGTTGTGTTATAAATCTCCTCGTGTGTTTCTTTCTCGGCATTGTTCACACATCTATATCGACATCTTTCATGCAGTATAAAAGTATGCCAAGGTCCGTATGACCCAATACTGATAAAAGCATGGGAAGAATGGGATGCAAAACATGGTTCAGAAAACGACCATCCAGATTTCCCGGAGAAACAGGTCAAGCTTCTTCTAGTTTCTTTACTTTTTACCGAGGTTCTTTTTATGTAGGATAATGTTTGATTGTTAAAAAAAAAAATACTCACTTCACAGCATTGTTTGATTCCAGTGCTATGTCATGTTTGTTCTGGAACATGGTGGCAAAGACTTAGAGAACTTTGTTCTTTTGAACTTTGATGAAGCCCGGAGCTTGTTGGTTCAGGTAATTGTCAGATTTCACTTCAATTCAGATGTAACTTTTTAATAGGAACACACTATATTCAATAACAGAGATGATGAAACTTCTTTCTAGTTAATGACATAACCTTTAAACACTTCAGGTCACAGCTGGTATGGCTGTAGCTGAAGCTGCTTTTGAGTTTGAGCACCGTGACCTTCACTGGTATGCCTGCAATCTAATTTGAACAATTTCCTTCGGTTCTCTGGCCTGATTATGAATGTAAATATCGTTTTTTACGTTTATTTTTCAGGGGAAATATTCTTCTAAGTCGTAATGACTCTGTTAAACTGACTTTTACACTAGAGGAGAAACATATGATCGTTAGAACATTCGGGGTACAGATATCCATAATCGACTTTACTCTTTCGAGAATCAATACGGGTAAGTATATTTTCCCGTTTCTCCACTTTAAAACCATACGTGTAGGTTTACTGGCTTAAATATTAATCATGGTGCTAATATGCCCAGGTGAAAAAATACTCTTTCTAGACCTTGCTTCTGATCCATACCTCTTCAAAGGGCCCAAAGGAGATAAACAAGTAAGGAAGAGGGCAAAGTTCCAAGCTTTTTCCAAAGTTTCGAGAGTATAATATTAACTTTAAAGCTTTATTAACATCATGCAGTCAGAAACTTACCGAAAGATGAAGGCAGTAACTGGGGATTACTGGGAGGGAAGGTAATAGTAACATTTTCACAGCATCCCTTGGTGTCAAGTTTCGAAATTTACCAATCTCTACATTCAATAGTACTTCCTCAGTTTCGCCGCTCCTCATCTGTGTTTGTGTTTTCTTTTACGCATGACAGCTTTCCACGAACAAATGTTCTGTGGTTAATCTATCTTGTGGACATCTTACTTATCAAGAAATCATTTGTAAGTTCATTAGTTCATAGTTGTCTGAATTCAAAACTATAAATCCCTGACCGGGTTCTGTCTGCGTTTAGGACCGTTCTTCGAAAGATGAGAGGGAACTACGATCACTGAAGAAGCGACTAGATAAGTATCAATCGGCAAAAGAGGCGATTTTAGACCCCTTTTTTGCGGACATGTTCATGGAAGATGGCACCACAGAGAACACAAATCCATGACCATACTCCAAGTAAAAAGACCTCTTCTTTTGCATAGACTATGTATGATCTGTGAAAAAAGCAAAATATTGCAGCTGATGTAATTCTCATCTCATCTTGAAATGAAATATCAGTTTGCAAGAAAAGAAAGCATTTATCATTATCTGTAGATTATACAGATGTGCCTTTCTCTGCTTTTGCCCCATGAATTTTTTTTTTTCTTTCAAAAGAGAGTATCAGAAACCACCATTTCACATGGGGTGTTGTCCCTACTTGCATGAGTTTCTTATTATCCTAACAAAAAAGAGTTTCATTAACAACTAACAAAAAAATCAAAACGTTTTTCCCTGTAAAAGCAGATCAAAACGTGTTTGCAGATAACTAACGAGAAGGTGAATAATTAGTTGATTAATTAACTCCAAAAAGTCCGAGAAAGCTTAAAATGTAGAGTTCTTTAATCTTTGTGTTTGCTGCTTCTGATTTAAATTCGTATTATATGTATACATATACAATATGAAGATCATCTCAATCTGCACTGCAGAGGAGAAGTCTCTGTAAGAACTTCATCCAAGCCCCCGAGTTCGAACTCAAGTTGGGGAGGGGAGCGCAAATTCTAATCACATGGCTTGCTTCCATACCCGAGATTAGGGTGGGGTTCGTTCCAAGACACCCGATTACCAAAAAAAACTTCATCCAAGCTGCTGCGTAAACAGCAAGAAATCCGCCGCCATAACAGTGTATGAACTTCCTTTTTCTTTCCTTTTAGGATAAGTGAATTACAAATTGCAAAATACTTTTTCTGCAAAGTTTATGGATCGGCATATGCTTGAGACTGATCTGCCAAACTTAGCTTTTTCTTCTCATATTCTTACGTGTAAAAAAAAAAAGGCATTTCGTTGCAGACAAAAAAGGATAAAGGGAACAGAGAGATTGGCCGAATTAAAGATCTTGATGACAAAGCAAACGTCTCAAGTACAGTCAGATTCTTCTCCCTTTTTCTTCACCTTCTCCTTTATTTTATACGAATCTCCCGGTTTTGCCATTCTTTAATTCCGTCTTTAACGTTATTGAATATCCATTGGTGTCTTCCTCACAAACCCAGAAAGAGAAAAAATAAGTTAAGCTCTCTCTGAGCTGTAATGGCGAAAGAGCAGTACAGTTCCACCATCATCACATTCTTCCTCTTCTTCTTGTCTCTGTTTCTTGTCTCAAGCTCCTCTTCTTCTGCAACAAGACATGACATGATAAACCCACCAACTGTCTTCCCTACAAACCCAACCACAACACCTGTGACCACTCCTTCCACTGCACCAGTCACTGTCCCTCCTGTCCTGACCAACCCAGTGACCACATATCCCACACCAGTAACCACTGTCCCCGCAGTTTCACCACCTGTTGTCACTAATGCTCCTGCACTTCCAGGGCAGAGCTGGTGTGTTGCGAGGCCAGGAACGTCTCAGGTGTCTCTTCAAGAAGCTTTGGATTTCGCCTGCGGGGCTGGAGGAGCAGATTGCTCGCAGATACAGCAAGGTGGCAACTGTTATATCCCCAACACGATTCAGAATCACGCTTCCTTTGCTTTCAACAGCTATTACCAGAAGAACCCTTCGCCCCAAAGCTGTGATTTTGGTGGTGCAGCTGCGGTGGTTAACACCAACCCAAGTGAGAAAAACACTGCAAAGTCATGTTTTTTTCTTCTTCTTGTTTTTAAGCTTGTGATTGTGTTTCGTGATCTTTTTTTTTTTAATTGAATCTTGATTGTTTTCTACAGGCAGTGGTTCTTGCATCTACCAGTTGTTTTCACCAACTTCCTCAACAACACCAACACCAACACCATCAAACCCAATTGTAACACAACCCGCAACACCAACACCGTCAACTCAAACTGTAACACAACCCGCAACACCAACACCACCAACAACAACGACAACTACACCAACTGGCGGAGGGATAATCGGGTATAGCATTTGTTTCAAGAACACTCTGTCTCGAATCTTTGAAATTTCAGAGTTCTTAATACTTAAAAGCACTTCAACTGGTTGTGTTCAATGTTCAACTGCAGATCTGCAACTCCTCCACCAGTCTTTAACCCGGCAAACCCTTTGTCAAGTACTCCAACAAATCCGGCTTCTGGCACAACATCAGCTTACGGTTATGATGGTTCACCTACTACTGGTACCACGTCAGAGTCTACCGGGTCAGGTATTTGCTTTGATCATGTTCTGGTGGCAACTTCATTACTTGCCGGTCTCCTTGTTCTTTGGAAGTAGAACAACGCACTGAACTGTGTGAAGTAGTTTGGTCTCTAGCTCATCACATAGTTTTGCAGACGCTTAAGTCGTGTAAAGCATCTCCATAGGAACATCATCAGATTCAGAAGACAGGAATGTAACGTCGTAATTTCATATGGGGCAACATGCTTGGTCAAGTTTGGACAGAAAAAACTGGTCATGTGTCTAGAAATAGATTTTCTTTGGACTAAAGCAGAAAAGGTAACGAGACGGTATAAGAGGTAATCTTGATCCCTTTATAGACTGGAAGATACTTCACCGTCTAGCTTTCTACATCTTCAAGAAGTCTATCTACTTAGCTTAATTAAGAATTCTGTCTTAAATTTGGCATGGCGTACTGCATTTCATTGATGATTCATCTCCTAGAAAACACAACAAGCATCATCATCGACATGGAAACGACAATCTTGAAACCTGATTTGTCCCAGAAGTTTTGGTTGTCCAAAGGAAAGGTATCTTGCTGTTTTCTTGTAGCCAATTGCTCCCTGAGTTCTTTTATCGCCATATCGCTCCGTTCTCCCATCTACGGTCACATGGAGAAGTCTTAGGTTTTCATAAGATAGCAAGACAAGAATCAAAGTTATTACCTTTTGGAGTTTTCGTGTTTGGGCACGAGCTTCTCGAAGACAAAACTCCAACTTCAGCACCTTCTTCTTCAGCTCCTGGTCATTTCGCTTTTGATTCTCCACCTAGTCGAGAGCGAATTCCGAAAGTTACATATGGCTTGCCCCATAGAAGGAACAAGAATTTGCCTGGAGAAGTGAAACTACAGCTATATCGTGTTACCTGATCTTCCAAGTCCTTTGTCTTGATCCTCCAATGAGCTGATATAATCTTTAATTCATCTCTCAGTCTCGCTATTTCATCATCTTTAGCCGACAAAAGTTTATTGATTCTTTCGACTTTTCCCAGCTCAGTGTTCTTGTTTACTCCAACCATGGATAAAGCCTGCATAATCTCATGTTCAACTTTCAAAACCTCGTCTCTGAGTTCCTTCTGAGAAGATTCTCTAGTTTTCAGCTCCCTTTGTAATATCTCTAGCTGCTCCCCGAGCTTAGTCACACGGTCCTCGTGCTCTTTCAGAGAACCCTCTTTCTCATCGAGTTTTTTCAATAATACCAAGCACTGAGACTGAGCCGATTCAGCAGACACAGCACTTGCCTCTGCCGTTGCCTGTGTTGCTGCTAGCTGCGACTTTATATCATCCAATTCCTTCATATACTGCATAATGACACATTAAGGAAGACGAGAAAGTTACTCCAAGAACCATCATAATATACCGAAATCATTGCTTCGAATGAATCGGTTGCTGCAAAATGACACAAGTTCTATAAAAAAAATGAATCAAAACCCACAAAAATTCTACATTCCACATATTTTCCAAAAACACAATAGCCAAAATAGATGCTGTAAGAGCGTTTATGTGTTCACCTTAGAAGAAAATTCTTCAACAGAACCGAACAAGAACAATATGCTAAACTGTCTGAGATGAACATACAAACAAAAAATCAAGAAAGTTGGAAACCGATCTTAACCTTCTCTGCAGCAAATTCTGATGCCCGGATCTGCTCATCCCTCTTGTTCAATTCTTTTTGCAGTCCACAGATTTCACCTTCCATTTTCCTTGCTCTTGCCTCTGCTTTCTGGTCAAGAAGAAAACACACAGAAACCAGCAAAGTCTATGAATAAGTCAACAATTGCACAAAGGAAACAAAAGATCCAACAGAAGTGTAGATTCAGGTTGAAGAGGTTGCCTGTCTGGACAAGGCTTCTTGAGAACATGAACTCTGCTGAGACACGAGACGGGTCCTCGCCTCTTTCAACTCGGCAGCCAAAGATACGACATTTCTCCTGAAATTCTGCTTCTTCTCGTTCAAATCCTTCAACAGAGGATCATCTTCTCTGAGACTGACAGAAGATGGCATCTCGGGAACTCAGTTTCTCGATCCAACAGATGCACTCAGACAGTATGAACAGTGCAAGGATGGATGTTCTGGGCGGGTTAAGGCGCCGAAACCAATTTCAAAACTTCAAAGATGGAAAGGAGATCTCTTCATGATCAACACGTGAACCTAAAAATGCAAGGAAATCTTGAATATGAAGCATATAAATGGCATTTCCATGTTGATTAGGAAGGTGACATAAATATGGTCCACGAGAATTATACCCACCAAGTTCGGCATTGCATTGAATTTCTGATAACCACGACTACTAAACTCTTATCAAACAGACAATACAGAGAGAGAGAGAGACTCGTTATGTCCCTTTCAGTTCAATAAATAAGAAAAATCTGACAAAGACGAAACCAGACACAAAACTCCAAAGAAATGAAACTTTTTTTAAAGGTTCAAATTTTCTCAGAGTAGATTCAGGGGGAGAAAAAAAATTTCGAATCTTAAACACAAAAATTCAAACTTTCACTTACGAAAGTCGCAGAGAAACAAAGCGACATGATCCAACGGCATACACTGAGACTGCAACATTAATCGGACGGCTATATGAAGACCATGTTCATGGGTTAGAAAAAGATTCGAACTTTAGGGTTCGTCATTTCCCGAGAGGACAGAGAGCGGCGAGCTAGGATCGGCCAATTTATTCAAATACACCACTCTACACCTAAATCAGTAAATGTCATATTTTAATTTAAAAAATGGAAAATCCAACAAAAAAGGGGTTAAAAAAAATATCGAACTTTTTATTTTATTAAATAAATATTAAATTTTTAAAATTTAACAAAAAAAATACTTAAATCTTATATTATTATTAAAAAAGAAAAATAACTGAAAATTTCTAAATTTGTAATTTAGTATAATATTAATTCATGAATTTATAGGTGTGTCTATTTATTTCCGAACTTTCATTTTTTAACACAGTAATTCCTAAATTTGCTTAATAATTTCATAATCGTACATACCACTAATTGACTAAAACAAAGTTTAGGAATTATTGTGTTCAAAAATACAAGTTATGGATTACTGTGTTAAAAAATGCAAATTCAGAAATTACTATGTTCAAAAATGCAAGTTCAAAAATAAATAGACTTACCTACGAGTTCATGAATTAATATTACACCAATTACAAGTTCATGAATTTTCAGGTACTTTTTCCTTATCAAAATAAACAAAACGACTGACGTGGTATAAAGAGATGTAAACACATTAGATTATTTAGCTTAGTTTTTTTTTACGATCGCATAAAGTTTATTTATTTTTTTGGATCAATAAAAAAGTTTAGTATTTTTTTATAATCGCAGAAAAGTTTATTTATTTTTTGGATCAATTAAAAAGTTCAATGTTTTTTTAGATTCGTTTAAAAAATTTAATGTTTATTTGATAAAATAAAAAATTGATTGTTTTTATATCAAAATTAAAAAGTTGAGTGTTTTTTTATTTGAGATTTCCCTTAAAAAAATGAAAAAGACAAACACACTTAATGAATAAAATGTGTGGAAGATATATATATACATGTCTAATGTTTTTCGTGAGAGAGGTAAAAGAGAAAACAAAATCTAAAACCTAGGGATTTTTTTAAGAAAATTCAAAAAAAAATACTGAACTTTATAATTTTAAGAGAAAAAATATCGAACTTTTGTTTTTTGTCAAATAAAAATCAAATTTTTTAAATGAGTTTAAAAAATATTAAATTTTTTAAGTAATCCAAAAGAATACATCAACTTTTATGCGATTGTCAAAAAAATACTAAACTTTTTAAATGATTCAAAAAAAATATATGAACTATATATAATTATAAAAAAGAACCAACGACAATAATTTGATATGTTTGCATCTCTTTATACCATGTCAGCTTATTTGTTTATTTTGACAATCGTAAAAAAGTTAGGTATTTTTTGACAAATTTTAAAAATTTAATGTTTATTTGACAAAATCAAAAGTTTTGTGTTTTTTTTATCAAAATTGAAAAGTTCAATGTTTTTTTTATTTTTCCTTATTTTATACTATTACATATTGAAAAAAAAAAAAGAGAGATGAGAAAGACGACTCTGCGAAATCGAATAATCCAGCCGCGATTTTGAAGTAAATCAATGAAAACCAATGAAATCGACTGAAATCGAAGACTAACGAAGAAAATGTAGTTTGGATTGTTGAGTGAATGAGGTTCTATTGATGTAGGGATTTCGCCTCGATCGAAGATGGTTGCCGAAAGAATGGAGATCGAGTCGGAAAGATCAAGAGAATCTTCTCCTGAAACAAATGTAAGAATTTTCGATTTAGTTTTGGAATTTAAATTGAATTTGTGTAGAAATTAGGGTTTAGGTTTTAATTTGAAAAACAGTTTTGTCTTAAACAAATGAACAGTTTTGTAAAAAGTGCGAAAAAGTTTTGTCCTGTAAAGTTTCGTAAAATTTTTTGATATGCTTGATCAGATTGTAACATAAAATTTGCAAATTGGCTGATATAAAGTAACAAATAAATAATAGTAGTAAAGTCTGTTTTCGTTCAATATTGAAATGGATTGATGTTAAATTGTAACTTAAATTTGTAAAGTGTCTCATACGAAGTAGCAAATACGTAATGATAGTGAATAAGGTACGAAATTGTTATATATTTGATGAATCTAAGTGTTTTGTTGCAGACTGTTGATATACCAAATGTTGCGGCGAAGGTTTCATGGAAATGTTTTCATATAGAAACAGTCGAGAATTTGGAGAATCATTTGACATAAGAGAAAATGAAGTATTTCACGAAAGTATTGCAACTTAGACACATATTCCACATGAAGAAAAAATAGTCACTCAAGATGACGTTAACGGTTGCACTCATTAACCGAGTAGTGAAGACAAAGAATGATAAGTTATGGTTCGTCATTAACAGGATCCCTGTTAGATACTCGTTGTGGGAACATGTTATTCTCTGTGGCCTAAAGTGTTCTCCATTATCTGAAAATTTGGAGAAAATTGGAGGGATTGACTTCTACAGAAATTTTTTTGGTCATGAAAGCTTTGAGAAATGTACGAAAGGAGATGTGATGCATAGATTTGGGCAATTGACTGTAGATAAAAAGGATGACAGATTGGAGATGGCGTATCTATTGCTTCTTAGCTATGTGATTGAGCATTAACATTTAGAGTACGTTAATCCATTTCTGTTGAAGACCGTGAATAGCGTAGACGTTTGTGAACAATTCCCTTGAGGAACGTTCACCTTCAAAAATGTTGATGGATTTGTACTTAGTTATCTGAACAATCACAGGAAACCAGTCAATCAATGGAATTTACCAAGATTTATAATTCCACTAACGGTAAGTCGTTTAAATTAATAAAAAGCAAATTGTTGCAAAGAAATGCATTATTAATATTTTGTACTTGATATTGCAGATGTTGTCATTCAAATGTATTCGTAAGCACCGTTCTAGCGGATGGTATTGAAATTGGAAGGTAATGTGAAAAAACATCTCCCGAATGTGTAAGAGATTTTCATCCTGAAAAAAAATATATGGTATCAAACAGAGATTGACAAGAATTGGTAGGACACAAGTTTGTTTATGTTGAATTTCGTTTTTCAGATGCAGAGTCGTGATAGTGTAGTAAAAAAAGAATAGTGTTAGTAAAGTAGAAAAAGTGTAGTGCTTTTGTATTCGTATTAAATTTGAGCATTTTATTTCAAGATATTGCAAGCATTCTGTTCCCAGAAGAGGCTGAAGCATCTCTACTTGAGGGTTTGGAGATCGTTGATAATTTTGACAAGGTGGTGATTGACAGTTGGATAATTCATTTGGTGAGGGTGTAAAATCTGTGAAATTGAAGGATATACTCGAGACTGATGTTAAATCTCGAATTGAAATACCAATGATGCAGAAACAAAAGAAGAGGCAACTATCTGTTTCACATAGGAAATAGGATAAAAAGAGAGAAAAAACTGATAAAAGGAAAATACCAGTAAACGAGAATGAAGAAGAAGAAAGAAAAGAATAATAAGGTCATAGTCAAGAATTGAACGAGGTGAGGTCTGAAGTGAGATATTTGAAAAGGAATATTACGTTTCTTAGTCGAAAGTTGGTTGAGACAGAAAACAACTTGCAAGACGCGGTTGAAGGCCAAGGTGAATACGATAACTTTCTTTCATATATTCACCATGGTCTTCAATCGCGTTTTACAAGTTTTTTTCTGTCTTAACCAACTTTCGACTCAAAAGCACAATCTTCCCTTTCAAATATCTCACTTTAGACCTCAGCTCATCCAATTCTTGACCATGACCAAATAATTAAGCACAAATCGATGGATATTTTTTAAGGTGAACGTTCCCCAAGGGGATTGTTTACAAACGTCCACATTATTAATAATCTTCAATAGGAACATATTAACGTATTCTGAATGTTAATGCTCAATCACATAGCTAGAAAGCAACAGATACGTCATCTTTAATCTGTCATCTTTTCATCTATAGTCAATTGCCCAAAATTTATGTATCACATCTCCTTTCGTAATCTTCTCAAAGCTTTCATGACAAAAAAATTTCTATAGAAGTCAATCCCTCCAATTTTCTCTAAATTTTCAGATAATGGAGAACACTAAAGACCATAAAGAATAACATGTTCCCACAACGAGTATCTAACAGGGGACACCGTTAATGACGAACCATAACTCATCATCTTTCATTGTCTTTACTGCTCGGTTAATGAGTGCAACCATTAACCTCATCTTGAGTGAGTTCTTCTTCATGTGGAATATATGCCTAAATTGCGATACTTCCGTGAAATACTTCATTTCTTTCTGAGTCAAATGATTCTCCAAATATTCAACTACTTCTATATGAAAACATTTCGATGACATCTTCACCGCAACTTTGTTCATGTTATCGAATTCGTAATAGAATTCAACTTTTGGTATATCAATAGTCTACAACAAAACACGTAGATTCAATAAATATATAACAGATTTCGTAACTTATTTACTATCATTACGTATTTATTACTTCGTATCAGACACTAATTTAAGTTACAATCTAATATCAATTCTTATCAATATTGAACGAAAATGGACTTTATTACTATTATTTATTTGCTATTTCGTATCAACTAATTTGTAAATTTTATGTTACGACCTGACCAAACATATAAAAATTTCTTAGAAAATTTATAGGATTTTTTATTTACTAGACACTATCCAAATTTTTTGTTTCAATCTTCAAAATTTTTGAATGAAAGCTGGTTTTATGCTTGTTACAAAATTGTTCATTTGTTTCAAACAAAAATGTTTTTTAAGTTAAAACTTAAACTTAATTTCTACACAAATTCGACTTAAAATCAAACCTAAACCGAAAATTCTTACATGAGAAGATTCTTTTGATCTTTCCAACTCGATCTCCATTCTTTCGGGAGCCATCTTCGACCGAGATGAGACACAATACATCTGTAGAACTTTCCTCACTCCGCGATCCAAACTCTATTTTCTTTGTTATTCTCTGATTTCAGTTGATTTCACTGATTTTTATCGATTTGCTTCAAAATCACGGTCGGGTTACTCGATTTCGTAGATTCGTCCCTCTTCTCTCCTTTTTTCAATATGTAAAAAGTACAAAAAAAAGCCCTAGGTTTAAGATCCCATTTTTACCTCTCTCCGAAAAACATTAGACACGTATACATATCTTCCACAAGTTTTATCTTCCACACGTTTTATTTATTAAGGGTGTCTGGTCTTTTCCACATTTTTAAGGTTAAATATGACATTTACTAATTCTTTAGGTTTAGGTGCAGCGACAGTATTTGGGTAGATTGGCCCTAAACCCGTACCGCATGGTCGCTAGGTCTTCGGCGGGAAGCGCGGCAAATCGAAGGACTTCAACTTTATCCAATAATAATCTGCCACGTTTTAGGTTGAGTATGAATCTTTCAACTGGGCCTTTATGACATGGGCTTCAATTAAAGCCCAATCCATAGATCACAAGATTCCAGAAAAAAAAAAATTCGAAGTCACAAATCGCTTTACTAGTAGTATTCATTATTCCCTAACCAAAATTATGAGATTTGAGATTTGTAAAACTAAAAAAATTGTACGAAAACTAGAAGAAAGAAGCTGTAATTTCTTAAAATGTGAATTTTAAGAATCTTGAGTATCGGGATAAAAGAAAATCATTTTTGAAAAAGAAAAGTTGTAAGAAGGAACACTATTCATACCATTTTTTTTTGCCCATACATGAATCAGAATTCACAATACTTCGGATTCAGATTTGCCAAATCCAGAAACTCTCCCTAACATGCAGATTATGGTACAGTACAGGTGTTGTTTCTCTGACACACAGAGCAACATCAATCAACTACACAACTCCATCGATCCCTAACAATAACACAGTCAAACGACCAAAAGTGAAACAAAGATCGCCACTCTGAATCAGAATCTTGCCTTACCAATGAATCCTCAATCCCATCGAGACCAAACAGTGGTGTCGTCATTATTATCAGAGACAGTTGCATTTGAAAAGCCATGGCCTTTGCTTCATTCTTCAGACAAACCACAAGAACAAGAGCCTTTTACCTCTTTTGAGATCAAACCCATGTCACTTGGATGCATCAGCCTCCTGCTTGACACTACCAATCTGAGAAATCCGCTTCGTTGTATCTCCATTGTTCTTGGACTGACCCGGATTCGTAGCAATGGCAGAGCTTTCTGCCTCTTTCACAGCCCCGTTAGCGTTCTTCGCCGACGCGATCGGACTCGGTTTGGGTTTCACATCAGCAGCCGACGCTGACCGATTCGCGGCCGAGCCAGAGAGCTCGACGGAGGCTTCCTTGAGCCGTGGAACAACGGCCCTCGCTCTCTCTTTCCCGGCGAGCATCACCACATGCTCGAGAGCCTCACGAGCTCTCTTCCTCGCCAACGCCGCCTCACGCGCCCTCCGGTCTGCATCGCACCTCGCGGCGGAGACAGCCTTTGTCATCGACGCGGCGGCGATTTTGGCGGCGCAGAGGAGGATGTCGGCGAGTCGTTTGTCGATGAATCGGACCCCGTCGCTGCGAACGGAAAGATCAAAGAAAGAGAACGATGTGGGATTCCGACACGGCGGACACAGGTACGAGGGTGGTTTGGCGTCGGCAGCGCACTGGGAGTGGGTCAAGGATAAGCACTTGAAGCAGGAGATCCGGCGTGAGGGATGCGGCGGAGAGGAGTCGTAGAAGGCGAAGCAGGAAGGACAAAACGAAGTCGGGTAGTTCCGGAGGACGCAGTCCGTGCAGAGTACGCGCAAGGCGCTCCGGAGGCGGACGGTGTGCGTGATCCACGGGTTTTTCGTACCGCATTCGCCGCAGCTCACCGGAAGAGAAGTCGCCGTCGATGACGACGTCGACGTTGCAGTCATGGCAATGAAAGATTTTGGGGAAATTAGGGTTTCGAAACCCTAACTTGACGGGAGAGAGTACCTTTCGTCTGTAGCGAGGAAGAAAGGTTTGACGTCACGTCAAAAAAAAAACTCAGCTTTATCAAACGACGACGTTTCAAAGGTCTTCCCCCAACTTTTTTTCTTTAGCTAATGGGCTTAGGCCCATTATAGGTCCATTATTGACATCCACTCTCAGATTATGTCTAGCTACAATCTTTTGATTTCTATTTTTAAAATCATTGGATACAACTTTTTTCAGTTTTTTGTTTTGGTCAAAATATTGGATTCAACTTTTATTTAATTAATGTTTGTTTTAATGATAAAATATTTATTTCAAAATAAATTTTCATTTATTTTAGTATACATTTATATTTGTTGATATAAAAATTATATTAAATTCATTTAATTTAATTTTATTTTGGGTTCAATTTTTGTGATAAAATATGTATCTCTAAGAAAACATTTTTATAATTTAGTTATGTTTATATTAGATTTGAATTTTTTGATATAATTTTTTTGTTAGAACTTCTGGGATATAATAAGAATAAGAAAAATAAATTGGAAACCGCATAAGTCTTCAAGATGTGCGTGCACTTTTCTAAAAATGTTATTTCGTCCTATACTAACAAAAGACTTTTCGAAATACGTTTCTGAGATACAATGAAAAGAAATGTGATCTTAGTTTGGTCTTCCAGGATTTTGTGAGTATTTTGCAAGAACAATCACAAAAGTACTCTCAAATCTCTCAAAAACCGAGTTAGATTTATTCTCTTTCGTGTTATGATGTATAGGGATGTTTATTAACACTCCAAAATTCGAAAGATGCAAAAAAATCGGAAGATTTTTTCCGAACGATCGCGATTTTTCACTTATTCCGAACTGCTCAGAAAAAACGGATTGTCCGCTCATTTGTTCGAGCTACCCGTACGTTTATTCTCGAATTGCTTAGAAAAAACGGGTTGTCCACCCATTTTTTTTAGCTACCGCCCGTTTTTTTCGGGCTTTATTCATCAGAAAAAACGGCTGCTAGTTCATTTTTTCGAAATGCCCTCCCATTTTTCCAGAGATCATTTTTCACATTCAAAATCAAAAAACTCTTTCGACGAATCCTTAACACTTAGGTAATTTATGGTATCCTCTAAGCGTGTCTCCTTAAATGCGGACCTGATTAAACAGTGACAAGTAACGGAAAACACAAAAAAGCAACGAAGAAATCCGAACTCTACCACAGGAATGTTCACTGAGGTATTTCATCGAACAGTTTGAGGGCAATTTCTAAGTTATGGGATAATGAATCCATATTTCTCTGTTCTTATATATTTGTGTTGTTCAATAGCCAGAATTTGATATCGTATTCACTATTCAGACAGACAAACAATAATGTTTGAATTTCACTTCATACCTTCTCGTATAGAATGGATTTTTAGATGAACTGCAACCAAAATTTGGGTAGTTCAACTACTGAAACGGAACGCAAAGTATTTGTTCTGTCCCGAATTCGAACTTCAAGTTTAGAGAAGAAACGTATAATCCAAATTTCCGGTCTCGAAATTAGTTTGGACATTGGTTCAGAATACCCAACAAAAAATTTGTTCCCGAGTATACGTAACTTGGATTGGAAACTTGTGGGTTCACGTTGATTTCATATTAAGATTCATTTGCTTCTTGTATATGATAAAATTCTGATGTAATCAAAAGAAACTGCAAATCACATCATCATCGTCGTCGTACAACAGAAAACAGAAACAAAGATCACATGCTTTGAATCTGAATATGGAAGATCAAAGATGGATGTTTTGGTCCTAATGGGTAAGAACATAAACAGCATATACAATTCCTGGGATGTATCCGAATAGCGTCAGCACCAAACAGATCCAAAACTCCACCTACAAACACAGAATTTTTAATCCATTAGCAATAAAAAAACACGTGTGCTTTTGTTTCATGCACATGCATGCAAACACACGCGTATATATAAACATATAAAACATATATAATCACGTGTGTACACACACACACACACACGTACCTTGATGCCAAATCTGAGGAAGACGCCAACAGGAGGCAAGAAGATCGCCAGTAGAATGTCAATGAAAGCGGCATCTCCCATTTTTTTTCTAGATTAAGTTTTTTTTTTCTTTTGTGTGTGTTCTTATTTGCTTTAGTGGATTAATGAAGAAGATGGATTTCCGTCTTGATCCGTAATAAAGGGATTAAACTAAACCACCACCTCCACGTTCCTTGAATTTAGGCTCCACTAATGCCACATTAGACAAATGTCGCATTATATAAATGAATAATAGTTTCAAAAGAAAAAAATATATTTCGTAATAAAATGTCATTTTGTGGGTAATTTGTTTTGTGATTAATTACCAAATGCTCCATTTGTTCTTTAACTTCACATCTCACGGTTTATTCCTAACATTAAGGAACACCACATAGATCTAGGGGTGTAAATTGGGCCGGTAGAGTCTGAACCCATACTCGATCCGAAGGTTTCGGGCTGGTCCGATTTTATTGGGCCCATGTAGTTAAATTCAAAAATTGACCCTATATATTTCGGGTTCAGACCGTACCGAATCGACCCGCATAATTCGCTTTATCAAATTTATTTTTTTATTTTTTTTAAAATATCGAGCTTTTGAACCGGTCCGACACGAGTCTGAAGTCTGATTTGAACCCGACCCGAAAACTCAATTTTTTCAAATAGAAAAACTTAGGTTCGAAGTTCGGTAATATTCGGGTTGGGTGAGGGTGAGGCCGCATTTGGGACATCGAGTGACGGGAAAATCACTCAACTATACCAAATGTGTCGCACCAATTTCAGCGATACACTTACAAAAAAATCAAAAAAAAAAATTCAATTCTATACCATTTTTAGGCTTAAAAAGTCCGAAATAACCTTTCTTTCATATTTTTTACGACTTTATAACGATTGTTATATAACTAATATACGACTAAAATGTAAAAAATAGTATTTACGACTGTATAACAACTAAAGATCCTGAAACAATTAGATGTATTTTTTGTCACCTCATTTAGAATCAATTTCAACTGTATTTAGAATCAATTGCAACTACATTTAGAATCAGTTACGACTTTACAACTATAGTTACACGGTTTAATTAAGGGTAATATAGTCTTTTCAAAAAAAAATTAATGGGTTATAATTTTTCGGGTGTATCCGAAAAATGAGGGCGACGCCTTTGGTATATTTGAGTGATTTACCTCTGAGTGACACCCCTACACAAATCTTTGCAAACCCAGTCGCCCATCCAATCATATCCGAATTAAATATTATTTAAAAAACGACGGATTTAACTTTTTTATAACGGAATTATTAAGATGTGAATAAATTAAAATAAAATAACAAAAAAAAAACAATCCGAAACAAATTGCACACAATTAATCCCAATGGAAAGAAAAATATAAAAATAATTAATTTTTTAAAAAAAGTTTAAAACCAGTATATATCTTGATTTAAACATTTCTTTCTGCATTAAATGCAAAGCAAGAGTTCCAAAACTGTAATAAGCGACCGATTAACAGCTTTGGTCTAGATTATTGGATTTTTCTAAGCCCAATTAAATAGAACATACTTTTTTTTGTGACGAAAGAAAAGGATAAAAATCACTTTTGAAACTATAATAAAAGATTACACAAAAAATGGAGGAAAACGTGTTTATTCACTAATTTCTTTTTTTTTTTAAATGAGTTTGGGGAAAAGTGCTATTCAGTAATTCTTCTCTTATATATATATATAAGCATTAAGTACACTAATTAGATAAAGGGGGTTTAGAGATTCCCTTAGATATTTTATTTAAAAAAAATGAATTGGATCCCTAATATGAAATCGACACGTTTTAGAAACAAACGAATTAAGAGATTATATTAAAAATAAGAAGATGCAAGACAAAGCAATGATGTTAAAAGATGGCTAACAAAGAAAAGTAAAATTATTAACAACCACAATAAATTAATAATAATAATAATAATAATAATAATAATAATAATAATAATAATAATAATAATAATAATACACAACTTTTCTTTGTTAGCCATCTTTTAACATCATTGCTTTGTCTTGCATCTTCTTATTTTTAATATAATCTCTTAATTCGTTTGTTTCTAAAACGTGTCGATTTCATATTAGGGATCCAATTCATTTTTTTTAAATAAAATATCTAAGGGAATCTCTACACCCCCTTTATCAGTAATAAAGGATTTTTCTACTTTTTTACTATTTTTTCCTCTCCTTTATCTATTTTTTTATACAAAAAATCCCATAAATTTGGTCAATAATAATAATATAATGTAGATATTTCTTATCCCCTCGCTTAGACTTTCCCTTCAATTTCCCATTGCTTAATTTTTCAAGTTCGGTGTGTTTGAATTTTAATTCCACAATATATTCTTATGATTATTTAAAAACCCACCTATAAACATAGCGTTCAAGAGGGATGCAAATCATATATAAATTTTTTTTTCTAATTTATTTCGTCATATTTGTATTAGATGAATGGCTACTTTGAAGCATTTTTGCCAGCTATAGACTATAGTGGACGATCCAAGGAATAATACGATTTTATGGGATAAAAGTACATCTTAGAATCTATTGTATGATTCAAGTCGAGGGTTATATACATAAAAATTTACAATGATTCAAGTTCGAATCCACAACTTTTTGTGTGAGAACAAACTTATTATATAAGAAACATTTGAATAATAGATCATAAATATTTATGTCAATTATGCATAAATCGTAAATAAAATTTTATAATATATCTATAAAATTTATGATTTAAAAACTATATGAAACGCATAAATTTACATATAAAATCAACAAAAATATTGTTCAAACCAATATCATGAATGATTGTTTTTGTGTTTTGAATTTTTAGTGCCCTTGCGTTTTCTCTTTATTTTAGAGCATACAAACATGGTCCTCCCTCTAAAAATGGGTATAGCCAATTAATGAGAAAATATAAAGAAAAATCAATATACACTAAATTTATCTTTTTCTTTAGAATTAAATTTATATTATTGAATAGTTTGAGCAGAATATTTATCTATGTTTTTTTTATAACGGAGGACCCCTAACTGATACCCTTCGGACGCGCTGATTAGTCCGGTTCGGGAGCAGCCTTTGTATATCGATCATATAAACCCAGAAATTCCCTCCCTCCCCCCCAGCCAATATTTATCTATGTTGTTTTTATTAAAATTGTTAGATACGTTTTTACCATTCTTAATATCTATATATATATAATCATTATAATTTTCATTGAAATTTACTTGTATTGTATGTATGTTTCTACTTTTGTTGTGTATTATTATTATTATTATTATTATTATTATTATTATTATTATTATTATTATTATTATTATTAATTTATTGTGGTTGTTAATAATTTTAGATGGGTCATGTATTAAAGAATAAGTTCGACGAGACAAACCC